TTCTCCATGCCTCCTCAGACCTAACATGGTCCTCTTCAAACTCCCAGTTCGGCTCATCTCCATTTCTTCTCTCTTGCCTGTTTTCCTCCACGTAAGTCTCAATAACCTGGCCACCAGCTACAGCCAACATGTTTCTAGGACTTACAGGCTCAAGGAATTCATTGCAGAAGCCCTTAGAGCAACTTTCTTTTTCCAAGACACACTTTCTCTGTGTAGCCCTGACTGTCCCAGAACTCACTTTGTAGGTCAGGCTGACCTTGAACTCACAGAGATCTTCCTGCCTCTGCCTTCAGAGTGCTGGGATTAAAGGTGTGTACCCCCCCATCACCCGACACAAATATTTTATTATTAATATTATATGTGTATGATGTTTGGCCTGCAAGTATGTCTGTGTGTCATGTGAGTGCCTGATGCCTGTGGGGGGCAGAAAGGGATGTCAGATTCCCTGTAACTGGAGTTGCAGAAGGAAGTAGGGGGCTGGGAGTCTAACCCGGGTCTGCAGAGGTGCTAGCAGCCAGTTCTCTTAACTGCTGAACCATCTTCCCAGCCCCCAGCTGGTGGAACTCCATTTACAGTTCAATACATTACAAGGAGTTGAGAGCCTGACCTTTACATTGCCACCAAGTTGCCTCATTCCCTCAAATCTCAGTGGAACCGTTGAGCTGAATCTTATGGAAACGTGTACAGAGGCAAAATGTTCCCTGAGTTTTCTGGGGGCGTTTCCTTGGGGGAAGAATCATGATGTGACACCTGCAGCCTGGCCTATCGTGAGCGCAGCACCATGTCCAAGGAGCTCGGAGCTCATGTCACCGACCTCAGAGTCCCCACACCGGCCCTCCACCGTCCACATCCCTGCTTGTCGGGGCAGGCATTTGCAGGCTTTCTCTTCCTTGAGACTGAACCAGTACCTGATGTTCTGGTTCTCACAAAAGGGCCCAGGACGCAGGTGAAGCCTCTGTGATGAGTCCCTGCCGCCTCCAGAGCGGCCCGGGCAGAACCAGCAGAGCTCTGAGTGCACATGATGGCCAGGTGAGCCGGTCTGAATGGAGGGCAGAGTGGGAGTGGACAGACCACACCGGTGTATGCAGAGTGAGTGCAACTCAGGGGCCAGGGCTGTGAGAGACGGCTGCAGGCCAGGTCGGCAGGGACTCTGAGCTGACAGAAGTCGATTGCTCTGCCAACTATTGAGAATGCCTTGGCTATACTTTTAAGGAATCTGGTTAAGTGTTCCCTTTGGCTGCTTAGGGCTGTGATTTATAGACAGCAGAGTCACTTAGGATAATAAAACCCCCAGGCCTGATGGCAACTGCTGAGATTTTTCAAGAAGAAAGGCACCACTTAAACATCTCAATCAGTTTCTCTCCAGTGAGTGAAATCCAGGGGAAACAGGCTTCAAACCTGCCTCCATCCTTCACACGTTCAAGAAGAAAAATGAGACAAATTGAGAAAATAATACTAGAAGGGCTGCATTCATTTCAAATGTCTGATGTTAGGAGACTCTTGTAGCAGATTTGTAAGAACTACAACTCCCAGAAGGCAGAGGTCTACCATTCTCTTCTTCCTTATAGGAGAGTCTCGTAGCCAGTTCCTAAGACCTACAACTCTCCACGGACAGGGGTCCGTGGTTGTCTTCTTCCTCGTTTCTAAGAGATCTTAATTGACTGAGAAAATTTGGCTTAAATATAAATTGGTGTCTCTGGACACCCCAGGCTGTGTAGCAGATCCTGTTTCAAAAAACAAAAGGAAAGGCTGTGTGGCGGTGCACACCTTCAATCCCAGCACCCGGGAGGCAGAGGCAGGTGGATCTCTGCTTGTTCGAGGCCAGCCTGGTCTACAGAGGAGTTCCAGGACAGCTAGAGCTACACAGTGAGACTCTGTGTCAAAAAATCAAAATTAGGAGGAGGAGGAGAAAGAAGAGGGGGGAGCAGATGGGACAAACAGGAAAAGTTGAGGGCAGAGGCAGGAAAAAAAGAAGAGAAGGAAGGAAGGAAGAGGAAAGGGAAGGGAGACTGGAGGAGAGTAAGAAATGCAGCGAAAGGGGAAGGAGAGAGGGGAGCCCATTTGAATAAATGTGTCTGTCCTGTAATCAGAATGTGTGTCATCTTAAGATAGCTTGTCTTCTTTCTATACACTGCACTCAGCCTTTCTGTTCAATATCTTCTCTTTCCAAGTGCATAAAGTCCTAAACGCTGAACATAACCTTTGTCTGTAGAAGCACCATGGCGATAATGGCCGTGCCTCAAAGTGGCCTCGTTCCCCTGGGTCACAGCACAGCAGGCACACACAGCCACAAAGGCTCCACACTAGAAAGCAAGGGTTTAAGACAGGAACCAGTTGCCCCCTGTGTGTACAAAGCACCAAAAATCTGGAATTGGAAAGAAGGAAATAAAACAGGTGGTCCATGTTCAATTAAAGAAACAGAACTTTTACATGAACATGAGATCTTCTTCATAGAAATAAAGGCCGGTTACGATGGTTTATTTCACGTGCCAACTTGCCTGAGCTAACGTGTGCCCAAACCGCTGGTTATTTGTTATCCGTGGACACAGATGTGGATGTAGGGATGTCTCCAGAAGAGATGAGCCTCTACTACAGGCTCTACTGGAGGTTCCGGGAGTTGAACCCAGGTTCTCAGATTTGGGAACCCAAGTGCTGTTGCACACTGAGCCATCTTGCTGGCCGGAGATAAAGAACTGACTCAGAACCCTGACTTCAGACTGAGTTCATCGCCCTTACAGATGCGGCACGCTCTGCCCAGTGCCTGATGGATGGGTGGAAGATGGGGGGAGATGCTCTGTCCTCATCTCCTGCCCCCAGACACCAGCACTGGGCCCTTTTACCAGCAGCCAGCCGGGAGCTGTCCAAGGTCTCTGTCTTGGACCCGAGCTGTACCACTGGGCTTTCTAGGCCTTCCTTCATCTTGCAGGCCTCTGCTCAGCCTCCACAGTCACGTAGTCTGCCCCATCCCTTGTGAAAGATCTCTACATAGCCATATGTTGGCTTTATTTCTCTGAAGTATGCTGACTAATCCACCAGCCAAAGAAAACCGATGGCTGGTTCTTTAGTGCTTGTGTGGGAGTGAGCCTGAATCCCTTTCTTTCATTTGGCAGGCACTCAAAGGCGGGCAGAGGAAAGGTTCAGTGTCGCCCTGGTTGGAGACCTTCCTTTGGCCTGGGACACAGCAAGCAGGTTGAACGCAAGACGCCTGCTGTCACTGGATAGGGGTGCACATTTTGATTCCTCTGGTTCATTCAACGTTAGAAGGAGAGGCAAAATTAGGGAAGACGTTGGTTACTAATGGTGCCCTGAGCATTTTGTGTCAACTGTTACAGAAGTGCCTGGCACTAGAAACAGGTGTGTGATCTGGTGTCTCACAAGTCTGACAGACAGCAGTCTAACTTCCTGTGCTGTCTTGTAGAAGGCTGCAGGCCGTGGCTCACAGCTCTGTCTCCCTTATATGCTCAGGCAAGTGTCGGTGTGCAAAGTCTGCCTCCCACCTTTCAGAGAGGCAGCTGTCTCCTGGCAGCTGAGCTCTAGCTAGCAAGGAAGTTGCCAGCATATCTAGAGAGCCACTTTGGGAGGCAGCTAGTTGTCAAAGCCACCTTGTCCTGAGTGCCTGGGGATGTACCTGCTTAAGCCAGCACACTGCCCTAGCTCTGCACATGAGAGCAAGGGAGGGTTATAGCGGCTGAGGGCTCTAAGGGAAAAGGAAGAAGGTGGAATGATACAGCCTCAGCCGAGGCTCAGAACCCCGTGGGCAGCTCTGAGCACAAGCTAATGCTGCAGAGCCTCCCCACCCACCCACCCACCAGCCCACCTCCTTGCGGCAAAGCAAGGCTGGGAATCAGGATTCCCCGCAAGCTTCCCACGTGTTAAGATGCAGCCCAGGTTAGCAGCTCATGACCAACATGAGTAATAACCTTTGAGAGACACCATTAGGAGCATTGAGCAATTAGTGACAATGAAATCAGGGCAGGTAGCCAGGAAGCCTCTGATCTTCCAGGCCTGCAAGGTAGAGCTTTAGACGTATAAAATGAGTGTGAAGCTAAAACCAGAATAGCAAATAGGTGAAGGTCATGGTGTGTGAGAGACTCGAGAGATAACAGCAGAGAGCTGCATGTCCATGCAAGTGCAACAAACAAATGTGTGTGCTCAGAACGCGTTCAGGCCAGATGGGTCCCAGCATGGAGAGGAGGTTGCAGCCTCAGACTCCCTCCCCTACCCAAGAAGCCATTCAAAATTGACCCCTGCTGGCAAGGCAAAGTCAGTTTTCCCCAAGGAGATAGAGTGTCACTGGGCTTACTAGGCACACTCCAAGGCAGGCCTTGTGCCCGGGAGTAGTTTGTTTTGGTCTGTTTTGTCTTAATATAATTTTTTATGTCTTGCTGGATTGGGGGGGGGATTCGTTTTCACTTTCAAGTTTTATGAGTTTGTTTTACTTTTTTTTTTTGAGAGAGAAAGAGAACATAAAGTTGTGGGGAGTGAGGAGGAGCTTGGGGCAGTTGGGGGGGTGAGAAACGTAATCAAATATATTGTAGGAAAAATGGTCTAATGGCTCTGTGAAGGACAAGGTATCTCCGTGCTGAGGTGCAGCCTTTGTTTTTATTTTTAACCATTAAAAATGTTATCTTCTCGTGTTAAAATGCCCATCTATCATTGTTTCCCATGTGGTGCGTGTGATTTTTTTATGTAAGCCATGTGCATATCCTGCTCACTTTAAATAGAATTCAGAATAATTGAACACACACACACACACACACACACACACACACACACACACACACACACGCTTTATTTCTTCTCCTTTCTGAATTTCCAGTCTGTTTTATTTGAGTTTGATACAACACCACCCCCTTGTGGAAGTTAATAGAAATGAACCTGCTTGACTTAACAAGACTTGACCCATCAAAACAGTTAAACCTCTGCAGCCTCAGCAGAGAGCTCTCTGCAAATAAAATCGCATGCAGAACCTCAATAGAAAGGTGCTGAGCCCCCTGAAACTGTAGATATGTTGTAGATAAGATTGTGAGCAATCTTAACTGCTGAGCCATCTCTCCTGCCTTGTCCCTGTATGTACGGCCAAACCCACACCTCCCCAAATACCTTCAGGATAGACTCCATTATTCAGAAGCAAAAGCACCTCCCTTCAGAATATCACTGCCCCAAGACTGCGTATCTCAGTGAATGAGTACATCTTCTCCCAAGCCAAGAGGAGCACCCCCAAGGATCCCCAAAGCGCAGGGACAGGGTAACGGTTCCTAATAGACCTAAGTTAGGGAATCCCGCCAAATTATTCAACTCAGCAATTCTCAGACTTGTTTTGTCGCAAGACGCATTCCTTTCCTCCTTAATACTTTTTAACTGAAGGATGCTTTGTGTTGTACATCATTTAATAAGACCATTCCGTCTCCACTAACAAATCAGCTCTTTGGTTGCAGACTACTCCGTCTTCCACGATGCTCATTCACTGTGCGGTCAGCCAGCTTTCTTCCCTCCACTTGCTCTAATGGGACGTGCAGAGTAGGTGACCGACATGGTAAGTCCCCATTGTCACCTTGACAGGATGGGCTGTGGCTTAGGTGAGTGCTGAAACACCGCTCTGGGCGCAGCTGAGGGTAGATAGAGATGACCTAATCAATGACTTAATCCTTTTATAAATCCAAGAATTGAACGAACCATTGAAGAATAAACTGTAGGAGGTGGGGATGGCTGGAGGGCGTAGGTAACTGGCGGTGAGGGAGGGAGGGGGCCTCTCCACTCTGCTTTCTCACGGGCCTAAGTGGAGCATCTCTGTTCTAAGGGCCCTCCCTCGTGTGACTCAGTGAGCAAACTAATGCTTCAGGTTGTCTCTGTTAGGTGTTTCCTCCCAGAAACAATGAAACACACACAGTGGCAGACTCGCAGCTGCTCCTAACTGGCGCCACTGCCTTAGGCAACCCCACCTCTGTCGCCAACTCTCATTGCCAGCTGAGGGGAGGAGGCAGCTGCCACGGGCAACGACCATACTTTGCCTTCAGTTAAATACAGGAGGCCCTCACTGTGTGCTCTTATCTGGAGAGATGGTAATGCTTACTGGGTTGGCTCTGTGACCCAAGAGGATGCTACACAACTCTACCACTGTCAGGGGTCCAAGCGTTTCCCGCACATCGTATCCTCTTACGAGTTTATGAGCCAAAGACACAAAAACCCCTGTCACTTACATCATCCATGCAGTGCCATGAGAGCCTCCCCAAACGCTACTCTATTCAGCAAGCATTTTTTAATAACGTGTTTTGACAAAAGTAGGCGCTTTGTGCCCTGTGTCGTTAGAGGCAAGCTTTCTAAGTCTGCTGATGTGTGCTGCATGATTTCTGATTTTGGAGACAGAGAGGGTCAGATTCGACTTTCAAGCAGTGGAAACATTATGAGGGCCTTAAACTGTGCTTCGAGCAATACTGCCTGGGGTTATTTGCTGACCCTTGTCATCAGCTACATCTTTGAAAGAGTAACTGGGGTCCTGAGGGTATGGATGCATTCCATCACCAGCCTGGTGGCTTCCAGAGCAGAGCCCCAGTGCATTGAGATGCCCCCACTCCCGTGGCCATAGTTGTGGACCACAGGCAGCCTCTGTCCTCCCCGGACGAGGACCTCCTTCTGCAGACGCACAGCTGGCCGGCTGGGCCTCAGGCCCACCCTCTCTTCTATGTTGCAGGCTCTGTGGAGAGAGGGCTCAAGAGCACAGCATCGAGAGTACATCTCTCTGCTGAGTCCCGCGTCTGGGGATAGATTCCAGTCCCCCTTCTGTCTGGTTCCTCCCAGGGTTACATAGGATGTGCCAGGGTAGACATACGTCAGGCCACTCCCATCTCTGATGAAATGCTTCACCCAGGGGGCATGTGCCCGGAGCACTTGGCCCCTCAAAGGGGAAATCGTGGAGTCTCCCACAAGTTGTCTGCTTCCCAGGCCTGAGCAATTGACCACGATGTCAAAGGATGGCTGCAGCTCCCACAAATCTTCTATTCTCCTGGTGAGTAGCAGACCTCCACCTTCCTGTATCCTGGGAACGAGACACGGGGTGAACCTTGGCCGCCTCTCACCCACTTCCCAGAAAGGAAGGACAGGACCACAGGAACAACAACCAAACAGTAAGCTCCCGGGCACTTCCAGAGCTCACAACATCAGTCTCTCTCCATCCTTGGCCAATGGAGACCCCTGAGGTTAGCCCTAAACGAAAACCTATTTTGCAAAGCCAAAACAAGGAAATCATACGTCTCTCTCTTGAAACATTTCACAGAGAGTTCCTGTATTGAGATGCAAGATAAATGGACGTGTGCTTTGAACTCCCAAGCACTTCCTGTTCAGACCCTTCTGCCTCCACATCCAGTCACGTGCTGCTAATCCTTGCAAGCACCTCTGTATTAGTTCACCCTGGTAAATGGTCTCACTCTCTGTCTCTCTCACTCTTTCAGAGAATGTTTTCACAAAAGGAACAGAATATAACAGTTTAATGATGAGAAGGAACGGCTTAGCAAGCCTTGTAATCATTGCTGAATTGTAGGATAATATATATACACAGCATAAAACTTTACCGCTTGGGCCATTTTCAAGTGGACAGCTCAGTGGCATGTTGTGAATGGCAATGCGTAAGCGTACACTGTTGCACAAACATTACCACAACCCATCCCAGCAACTCTTTCCATCTTGAATGTGGAAATTCTGAAGCCGTTAAAAAAAATAAATAAATAACCCCTAGTAATCTTATCATTTTAATCCCTTGTCATCCAATAATCTTATTCCCAGGTTCCTTACGGGGTGCAGGGATTTAATACAAAACACTTTGGCAGTTTTGTCCAATAGATGCAGGTTGGTGACCTAGAAGCAAAACATTGCTAAGAGGGACAAAAAAAAAAAAAAAAAAAAAAAAACATTGTAAGAGAGTATGCCCTTCCTCCAGGACCGTAAAAAGAACTGGGAGACAGTGTAGACAGTTGGCAGTGTGAAGTTTTAACATACAGACACAGGCATGTGCATATGCACGCACACACATAAGCACACAATTGTTTCCTTCTCCAGGGAACTTTGACAAATACAGTGCTACCCCAGAGGCATCTGCCCCTGTCTGCTGTCACTCGAACACACTCCAGAGAGAAGCAGAGACAGGGTTAGGTGCCTGTGCCCTCCCTGCCTCTAAGGGAGCAGAGCTGCACGTGCCAGCACACCTCCCTCCCTCCCATGCCCATGAACATGCTCATGAGAAGGAAAACAGAAAAGTCAGAAACTTCTAGACAGAGCATAAGGGTGTGGCTAGAGGTTGGTGACGACGGCAGAGTTTCACCGCTGATTTTTAACTCAACAAGAAAAGCCTGACATTCCACTCCTTCTGACTGAAAAGTTCATCTGAAACTTGCACTGAGATCTGGAAGGAACTGGTCTTTTGACACTGTCCCCAGTTCTAGAAAATGCCACAAGCAGAGGAGAATCGCAAGCGGTCAGCAAGGCAGCTCCCAGCATCAGCCTTTGTGAGCAGAGTTTTGTCTTCTCCACAGCTCAGCAGTCGGTGACTGATGGTCAGAGCTTCAGCCCCCTACTCTCCACATCCCTCCCACTGGAGGGAGTGCTCCCATACAATCACTGAGCACTTGAAGCACAACCAGAAACCTCTGGACTGGATTCATGTGTTATACATTAAATATTTACAGAAGGCCCAGCTGTGCTAAGCCCTTAGTAATTTGAACCTGGAGTGTACTTTCCATTCAGCCCAAGACGTTATTTCAGGCACTAGTTTTTGCCCTGTGTATCCTTGCTTGTTCTTCAGAAAACCAATGGGAGGCTGTGGCATTTACCTGCGGCAAGAAAAACCAAAGACACTGGCAAGCATCTACACAGGGCCACAGACAAGCAATAAAAACACCTAGTGTGACAGAGTGACTAAAAGCTTTGGGATCGTAAGTTTCCACTCTCTCCACAGAACAATCTGGAAACTGAGACTGTCTGTTGGGTGAACACTAACAGTGTTTTTGATTTAAAGGTGAGACAACTCTCTCAGGCTAAACTTGGCTGGAAAAGGGGGAAATTGGTGTTTTGTGGCAACACTAACCTGCACTCAATACTGTGTTTGTGTTGTTTAAGAAATAAACACCAACACCACGGAAAGATGGGGTGAGAAGGACGAAAGAGCCAGGAGGTGGGGAGGGGCGGGGAGGGGACAAGGGCCTACCTGACCTTATACAGCTGCTTCGACCACAAAGCCGCGCAAGCCCGGACTCAGACTCATCAACGTCTCACCACGGATGGGGAGAGCTCAGGAGACCCCACGCTTCCCCTGGTAGCTGATGGAGGAAGAGCTATCGTTTATCTCAGTGATTCAGCCACTGATAATTTCCCGGTGTTCTAGCAAGTAAATAATCCTCCGCCCAGGTTCTGCAAGTAACCCTAATTAAACGCAATGGGTCACAAAACAAAGAAAAAAAGAAAAAAAAAGAAAGAAAAGAAAAGAAAGAAGGAAGGGAGGAAGAGAGGAAGGAAGGAAGGAAGGAAGGAAGAGAGGAAGAGGAAAATACACAAAAGTAGGGAGAGAGCCGTCTGTCTGAAGAAGAGAGTGCTGTTTAGTTCTGTTTGTTTCTGTTTTGGTTGACTTGACACAAGCTAGAGTTATCTAAAGAGAGAGAACCTCAATTGAGGAAAAAGCCCCCATCAGATTGGCATTTTCTTGAGTGATAACGGACACCAGAGGGCCCAGCCCGTGGTGGGCGGGGCCATCCCCGAGCAAGTGGTCCTGGGTTCTATGAGAAAGCAGGCTGAGCAAGCCTGGGGGGCAACCAAGTAAGCAGCGCCCCCCCCCCCGCACGGCCTCTGCATCAGCTCCTGCCTCCAGGTTCCTGCTCTGCTTGAGTTCCTGTCCAGACTTCCCTTCATGATAGACTGCGGTCTGAACACTAAGCCAGAGAAACCCTTTCCTGCACAGGTTGCTTTGGTCGTGTTTTTTACCAGCGCAGCAGAAACCAAACGGGACAAGGGTTTCAACAGAGCGGGGAGCGAGATGAGAGAGGACAATGGGGGCTGAAAACAACTAGAATCGTTGTGCGCACACATGAATCTGCCAACGAAGGCGAGGGAAGACTTTGGGGAAGTGGGACCGCCTACCCCTCACTTCCGCTAGGAACTTCTCTAAGCTTCCAGCCTTCCCTTCCTCCCTACTGCTGCCAGGGACAACATCCGTCACACACCACAGCCGCAGTTGCTGGGTCAGGGCAAGAAGGGTTTGTCACGCTGCCATAGAACACGAGCCCCGCTCTGTGACCCGTGGGTAGCCTGCCTCACAGCTGGGTGTCGCTGACATTTAACTATGGTCGCTGTCTTGGTTTTGTTTTTCTTTGAACAGACTGTAGGTCCCACGCGCTAGTCTTTGAACATTCTAACCAGAGCTCAGGGTTATTTTTTTTCTAGTTCAGGTGAACTTACCAGTCTTAGGGTTCACGCAAAATTCTTCAATTCGCTGAACTTGTTTCCTTAACTATAGCCTAGGGATAAGAGTAGTTGGGTCTATATGGGAATTTAGTAAGTTCAATAAATGCAAATGGCCTTCTTTTCTGTTTCAACAGCCCTCACTGGGAGCTGTGGTAAAAGCCCAACATGTCTCTGGAGATGAGGTAGGCGGCTTTGGGAAGGCCCAGCCAGGCTTGCTGTACTGGGTCCCCTTAGATCTCTTTCCCAGGGAGAAACAGGTCACACCACGCCTTTTCCGTGTGAGTGTTCGGTGCTGCCCACCCATCAGTGTATAACATCATGAGCCTGACACCAGTGTAGAGGAGGACTCTGTATCCAGAAGCCAGACACTAGCTTAAATGACCCCGGCCAAGAAATCACTTTAACAGCCGTATGCCGTATGAAGCCGCTGTTACAGAAGCTGGGGGGGGGGGGGGAGGGACCAACCAGAGATAGAAAATACTCCATCATTTTCCTCTGGAGATTCTGGCAGAGAGTGAGATCCCATTTTGCAAGTAGAGCATACCAAGGCCTCATAATCCACGAGGAAAAGGGAGCTCCATTAACTAAGAGCATTAACTAGGAGCATTTAGCAGGCAAGAAGGGCTCTGCTGGAGAAATACCACAGTGAGGATGGCCAGGAAGGAGCAGAGACCTTTGGGTGGGGAACAGGACAAGAGGGAGGATACAGCCTAGGGGCGAGGCAAGCTGACCTCACAGAGCTACCAACCATGACCAGGGACCCACTCTTCTGGGATCAACTCACTGAGACACATTCTAATGCTTTTATAGGAACTTAATGAATAGAAAATGAGGAGCAACAGACATTTTTAACCACTCAAAATTCAGGAGGCTTCTAAGATGCCAATCACTCCTTTGAGCAGACTATTTCTGGGATGTTATCCAAATAACCCTCTGCCCTGCAATGCTATAAAGTGAAAACCCCTCCTGCAGATGTGTGTCTGCTCTGGAGAGAAGGTAAAGGCTCGGGTTACACCTCTGCAGACTATATGCCCTGGGAACTTCTGTGCCTTGGCCAACAGGAAGGGGACCAGTCTGTGTCCAAGCCCAGCTGGCGCCTAAGGCATCTGCGCATCTTCCCACGGAGGGCACCGGTACTAATCCCAAAAGCAGGGAGGAGGCCGGAGGCAGAGCAGGGCTGCCCGGAGTTGGGGTTCGGAGTTGAACGTGCCTGTCCTCACAGGAATGAAAACAATCTAGAGATATTTGTGCCCCTCATTTTAGCTATCAGACAAATGAAAAATGGACTCCAAGTACTTGAGATATCCCCAGGACTCTCACACCGGGAGAAGACTGTGACCTCTGGCCTTCTGTTTAAACTCAAACCTAATTTTCGCACCCTTGACAACATTTCTTGTCTGCTGCTCTCACTAACAACATCCTCACAATGAACTACATGCTATCGCACACTTCTCTGAGTGTCCACCCGAGGCTGATCCTACCCCACAAATACATACCAATCACTCCAGGTCACACCAAGCATCGTGTGTAAAGCAGGATGCTTGAAGGAGGGGATATGGATGTGTGGTCCAGGGTATCTATAGGCAGACGGCCCTGAATGGAGAGGCCCTGCTCCTTTAGTCCACAGAGGAGGTGCTGGGGAAGAAAATCCAGCCACGAGATGCCTTTGAGCGTCTTAATAATGGCCGCCAAGGCCACTGTACCCCACACATCCTTCCTCTGTTCCCTACAAGCCTTACTGCCACCATCAGGAAACACAGGCAGCACCGTGTTGCCACCGTCCTCGTTCTTTGTCGTTGCCCACCTACGGAACAGTGAACACATTCGACTGTGGAGCCTTCGGTCTCACACTCCCCTAACCAGGCGCTGGGGAACAGATGCAGGACAGGAAGGCAATGCCCAAGGCAGTGCCCTAACACTGCAACCCTCTAACACAGTTCCTCACGCCGGGTCACCCCCCAAGCATAGATTCGCTTCATTGCTACTTCATAACCATAACGTTTCCACTGTTAAGAATTGCAATGTAAATACCTGATATGCAGGAAATCTGATATGTGACCTCCCCTCCCAAGGCTGAGAACCACTGCACTAAGGGATGCTTCAGAGGGAGGCTATGTTCCCATAGGCCCACGGTGTGCTGGTCAGGAGGAGAAAGAGGCATAAACTGGGAGAGTCTGTCCCCTGGGGGACGCAGGTGTCTATTTCTATAAAACTCCCCAGGAGTCAGACAAGAGTCAGGCATGTGGAACGTCTGTCTGAAGAAAGTGAACAAAACTGTGTGGACATGGGGTCCAGGCTGGGTTCTGTGTGCAACAGACACCTCAGACCCACGGGGCGAGGCTTGGCACCCTGGAAAGAAATCAGCCCATCTAAGTTACAGCCCTCCAACACTGAAAGGGACCACCAGGCTTTCTAGATGTCACCAAATGCAGGGTGGCTCTGGCCCCTTCAGGATAATTTATTTAGGTAGGCTGTCTGGCAGGAGACTTGTTGCCTCCATGATTCATTTCCTGGGATGTGGCAAGCAGGAAAGCAGCCAAGCGGGTGACTTTACTGTCCCCAAGATGTAAAATATTGCCCGCACGGGGGATTAAGCCTCTGAGGACTTTTCTAGTGTTCTAGACATTACGGGCAATGTTTGAGAAGGAGATGATCTCTTCTGCTCTTGGAAAAAAATTACCGGTCTGAGTTATAATAAAATAACATATTTTTCCTGGATTGGTATAACATCCTGGCAGGCGTGGAGGCTCCCACACGGCATGCTGGGAGGAATGTTCTCTTCTGAGTGAGGATTCACTGTGGGGAAGGGAGGCGGGGGCGGCAGAACAGGCCCAAGGGTAAGGAACAGCAGGGATTGTGCGGCTGCCCATCTGGCAGCCCACAGAGTGAACCCCAGGAGTCTTATTCCCTCACAGAGACATTGTCCTGCCTCCACAAAGCCTTCCATAGAAGAAGAGGGGGTAGGTAGCCTTTGTCACCCACCAGCGGCCATCTGGCCAGATGCCAGGCTCATTAAGTAGATTACAAAACAAAACAAAAAGAAGACCGAATTTCAAAATACCTCTGGTCCCAAACATTTCAGATAAGGGTGACCAACCTGGTACCCAGATTTCGGGGATTGACCAGCTTATGTTTTACAAGCCCCCAACCTCATGCACTGGATGAGCCAGCAAGAGATGCATCTGATGGGAGATGTCATTCTGTATATGTTTCTCATACCATACTGGTTAATGAATAAACCACTGTTGGCCAATAGGAAAGCAAGATAGGCGGGACTAGGAGACAAGAAGGAAATAGGAAGTAGTAAGGAGGAGTCAGGACGGAGAATAGAACCGCCAGCTGCCTCTCGCTGGTAAGACCACGTGGAAATACTAGATTAACAGAAATGGGTTAATAATTAAGACAGAGCTAGCCGATAAGAAACAAATAACCAGGCCAACAGCATTATATCAAATACAGAGTCTCTGTGTGTTAATTGGGGCTGGCGCGGTGGCGGGACAAAACCAGACGGCAGGCGAAAAACCATACTCGTTACATGCATCGACGTGTCTCAAGGGAAAACACACTTGCTGTGTACCCTAAAAAGCTAAGAACGTGGAGTGATGAAAACATAGGTTCAAGGACTGAATTTTCAGGAAGCAATTACATACTTTAGATGAGCCCTCAATTTTAATATTCTTACTCATAACCAAATTAATAATAATGATGATGATGACGAAAAAAATATTTTTACTGAAAATGAGAAAAAAGTTAAAATAATTCATGGCAAACTTGGGATTTTCTCTTCCAAAGAAGTAAAGCTATAAATGCATTACCCAAACGCCTCCGTTTTCCGAATGGAGAAACTAAGAATTCAGTAACTGGCTTTTCTCTGAGGGAACAGGGACAAATGAGGCACCAAGTTACCGTGAATGTGGCGCGGACTTAGTCCTGGCCACATGTGCACTCCACAGCCCTGGCCATTTGTGAGCCCCCCGAGGGGCCCGGGAGAGCTGGCTGCGTGCTTCGTGAACAGCTGTGCAATAATTTGTCACCATGTCAGACAGGACAAGTCAACCAACCTTTTCTGCAGCCACGGGAGGTAGGCAGAAGTCTCACACTGCAGCGTTGTAAAGGCCTGACCAAAGACGTGTTGAGGGAATCTCTTCAGCTCAGCCTCTGTCATCTTTCGAAATCCCAGAACGACATCAGCCCAGAAAGGCACCTCTTCGTGGGGGGCATGCTGGAACACCTGCCAACTGGGACACGGGGAGTAGAAGGGCTCCTTAAATTATGCGAAACGGTGCGTTTCTCATCGTCCATATAAAGTTCCCTAACGCGTTTTAAAATTCACTTCCTGTAAACACAGAGGAAACAATCGATTCTTCCATCCTCTGGGGTTCAGATACCTCAGTATTGGAACGGTAGGAGTCAGACATTTTGTAAAGAACTCACAGGGCTGGGAGTTGACTCTGTGGGTGGTGGAGATCCCAGCTGGCATGCACCAGGCCAGACTTTCAGTCCCCAGCATGGCCAAAAAAAAAAAAAAAAGCATGCCTTTTTAACTCTTCAGCTTCATTTATTTTCTTCTGAAATGATTTGCCATGATTTTCTTTTTAACATGTTGACTATGTGTGTTATCTAAATAAATAGATTTAATTGATTTTTCTTAAATGACTTTACCATAATTTCCTATTTACACATGACTGCATATTTTAGAGGAAAGTTTTTAATGTTTTGCACCACACGTCCTATAAAGAAGGAAAGGAAAATAAAAGAAATTCAAAGGTTAGCCTTGATTTTGAATATGATATCTTAATTGGCAGGATTTTGTTTGCCTGTTCGTTTGTGTTTTGTTGTTTTTGAGACGGAGTCTCACTATATAACTTTGGCTGTCCTGGAACTCACTATATAAGCCAGGCTGACCTTCAACTCATAATGATCCTCCTGCCTCAGCCTCCTGAGTGCTGGGACTAAAGGTGTACATCCCCATACCTGGATAACTGGAAGGAAGCAGGTGTGTGATTTTAAGTCAGTTCTAGGCTATGAAGGCAGGAGTCCCCAGAGGAGCCTGGGGGTATGGACATAATAGTGGGAGTGTAGAGTCTACACCGGTATTGGTGATCAGTAAGAACCCTGGAGCACTGGATGAAACAATTCTTAAAACAACTTTAGATATTAAAGAAGAAGAAGCCTGTAACGGCTGCCAATAGCAGCCACGCACGTGCTTTTCCATCAGCAACGGCAACCACCCTTTCTCTGAAGTGCCAAGACCCCAGTCTGAACGCCGAGTGGTTGCTCCACACCAGAGTCTGTGTCTCTAAGAAGAGCAATTCACCCAAAGCAGACCCTAGAAGACCAAGTGTCTCTTGGGCATGGGAAGTCTTTTCTGTCATCACAAATACCCTGCCTGGGATATATGGCCCCTCCTCCACAATTTTGCCCAGTCACCCCAGCAGTACCCAATTCTAAAAGGTTCACTATCTAGCCCAATACTGATAGGAACCCTCCCTGACCCATACATACCTATTTCCCCACAATAGCAACTTTTTGATTTTTTTTTTTTTTTTTCAGTTTTTGAGACAAGGCCTCTCTTTGTAGCCCTGACTGTCCCGGAACTCACTCTGTAGACCAGGTTGGCCTCGAACTCACAGAGGTCTACCTGCCTCTGCCTCCTAAGTGCTGGGATCAAGGGTGTACACTCTTAAACTATTAAACCCCATCCAATCTCCTTTTAACCATTTCTCAGATCCATCTACTCCATCTCCATACCGTCCATACATCCTACTTGCATTTGCATCTCTTTCCCCAAGTTTAGTCTCTGCACTACAGATAAAATGCCTTTGCAATTAAATATGAAGTTACTCCATGTGTAAAATGCCCCAGTGGGCATTTCTCAATTCACCACAGTCACCTGAGATGCTCAGGGTGTGGGTTTTCCTCTCTGCCACACCTGTGTCCTCTGAGCCCACCCTCTCTCTGTCCCTTTACTAACTTACACTCATCTCGAGGGTCTCAAAGGAATCACTTTTTCCTACACAGCTTCTGATGAGTGTCTGGAGCAAGCTTCTTCTCCAGACACATGTCTCTCTGTACTCCAGCCTCTGGTAACGAATGTTCCATTAGTAACTTGTAAGATTTAGGACATTCCCCCAGAGCTACTTCGGGATAAGACTGTGCCTGTCTTTGGTAAAATTCACTTAGCACATATTTACTAAGCATTTAGAATATGTAGAAATCCTCATTGTCATACCTCTAAGACCAGTAGAGAGAGCGCTACCAAAATTCCTTTTAAAGAAATGAAGATTAAAGTTTTGTCAAAGATACACAAGACTTTGTAAAGCCTTAGTTTTGAAATGAGAGAATATTGGAAGATGTCTATTTCTAAAAATTACTTAGAGACAACCTTGATGAATTCCTATTTGTTTTGGAACAGGTTCAGCATGACTATAACACAGCGAATACCACACTTCAATATGGTTCAGCAACTAACCTTGGGGAGAGAGAATAGGCCCTGCCATTAAAAAGGATAAGTCCACAGCTTGATGGTTAAGCAGAACCTGCTTCTTTGGGTAGAGGCTTTGGGAAAATGAGGCTATCACCTGCCAACCTGGTGATTATGTGATGAGGGAAGGTGTCTTAGTTAGGGTTTCTATTGCTGTGAAGAAACAACATGGTCACGGCAACCCTTATAAAGGAGACATTTAATTGGGGCTGGCTTTCAGCTTCGGAGGTTCAGTCCATCCTCATCACGGTAGAAAGCACAGCCGCGCGCAGGCAGACACGGTGCTGGAGAAGGAGCTGAGAGCTCCACATCCAGACCCTCAGGCAACAGGAAGGAAGAGACACACTAGGCTTGAGCTTCTGAGACCTCAGAGTTCACTCCAGTGACACACTTCCTCCCACAAGGCCACACCTACTCCAACAAGGCCACACCCCCAATAGTGCCGCTCCCAGATGGCCTTTGGGGCCGCTTTCATTCAGACCACTGAATGGGAAGAGTAGAGACCCTTCTGAGGTAAGTAAGCACTTAGAAGCCGAGTCCACAGCCTGGAGCTTTCTTTTCTTCTGCTGCTGCTTTTTGAAAACTGTTTATTCTATGTACATGCACATGTGCATTCATGCCTCTGTGTGCACTGCTTTCAGACAAGAGCCCACAGAGACCAGAGGGGACAGCAGATGCCCTGGAACTAGAGTTACAGGTGGGTTCTGGGAGCTGAACCCAGGTCCTCTGTGAGAACAGAAAATGTTCTTAACCACTGAGCCATCTCTCCAGCTCCAAGACCTGTACTTTTAAAACAATCTTGGTGGCACACAGATAGAAAAGCAGTTGGAAACATCCTAAGGGTAGGCATCCTCCTGCTCTTCAGAAGGCTGTGTTAGCACATAGGACAGCACACCTGTTGTCCTTTGATGACGCCGAGACTGAAAAACGCTAAAATACTTAGTAATCTTTTTAGTAATCTCTAGAGGATGCGGAATGAAATGATCATGTTTTAAGTGCTGCTCATGTTAGAGACATTAAACGGAGTTGGGGTTGGGGGTGGAGCTTGGAGAGATGGCTCCACTGGATACTCTTCAAGAGGACTCAGGTCAAATCCCCAGCACCCACATGGCAGCTCACGGCTGTCTGTGATCCCTTCCAGGGAATCTGATTCCCCCATACACACACACTTGCAAGCAAAACACCAATGTATATAAAAATAAAATAAATAAATTATTTAAAAGAAGAAATGTTAAATAGGACTTGTTCTCAGACCTCACGTAAGCATACATTTGCTCAAAATCAGATATTAACAATCAATCAGAAAGGTATTAAGCATTTCAGAAACACTACATTCCAAACAGCACTTCAAGAGATAAATTTAAGCAGTGTGTTGGTGGCGCTCGCCTTTAGTCCCAGCACTAAAGTCACAGGCAGGCGGATCTCTCTGTGAGAGCAAGACCAGTCTGGTCTACAGAGCGAGTTCTCTGTGGCTCCAAAGCCACAGAGAAACCCTGTCTCGAAAACCAAAAAAGCGAGAGATGAGTTTAGGGCTGAAGATGTAGTTCAGTTGAGGGCGCTCACCCAGCGTGACCTAACGTGCACCTACCCCTCCCCAAAAAGCAACTTTAAGAGGTACAAAACTTACTTCTGGGGCCATCTCATTTTCTAATGATTCTCAAATAAATACGACATTCCTCTGCCTGGGGTCTCTGTGTGCATTTCAATGCCCACCTCTTCAATGTCCATCAGCTACACCACCCTCCACACACCCAAACTCAGTGCTTATGCCCTACTCAGGATCTTTGCTTGCTTTTCTCTGTATTTATTTTCAAACCACCTCACATTATTTGAAGAAACTCAAAAAATATTTGTGATAAGAAATTACAATGATGATTTATTGTTTTAAAACACTAATTCCGTTAAGTGGTATTTCTCAAGTTTTCTGAAGCAGTTTCTATGTCCTCCCTCTTACAAATCTATTCTGCTGATCTCTGGTGGCTGTCTTGTTCTATTTCTACGACTTCAAATTCCTTTTCTTACCCAGACACCAGATGAACACCCGCGTCTGCAGCTTCTGCAGACTTGGCAATTGTGGACAAGTGTTGGAAGGTCTCCGAAAACCACCGCTTCTGCGTGGGCACAGGGGTGTCTGCGTAGCCATGGAAAAAAGCAAAGGGCAAAGAGAGGAAATGATCGTGACACAGATGGAGTCAGGGGGGAGCATTCAGACAGAATACACAGGGTTTCGATATTGATGTGTCTGTCTTGTAATGACTGACTGACGGAGGGGCACAGGCTAGGCAGGGCAGCCCGACACAGAAGCCAGAAGCACACATGGTATACTCCACAGACGCCAGCCAGAGCAGGAATGACTGTATGACTGGGAAATCCAACCAGGCACATGGCTGGGACAAAACATAGAACAGAGAGACTCCTTACAGGCGGGCTGGAAACAGGAAGGGTGACCAACAGGGCTCCAGGTCAATAAGGATGTGTTAGTAACAAACTTTTAAATAAATCACTGGTTATAAAACTAATAAATATTCCCTTAATATTGAATAAACGTTGACATCAGTGAAGAGTGTGTCTCTGTGAATGCAACACGCTCTTCCAAAATTGCAGACAGGCTGCTTGCTTGGAGATAAAGGCGAAATAATAACTGCACTGCAGAATTACGTTAGACCTCAATGGAATGTCCTCCAACCACCTATGTTGTTGTGGAGAGCTGGTTTAATATGCACCCCTGCGTTCCTACCCCTGAACTCTAAAACCGGAATGGTGGCTAAGAGCCACATGCTACCGAAATCATCTCCAGATAACAGACAATTCCAGTTCAACTGTGGATTAAGCCAGCATGGCAACCTAATTCATACTCAGCTCTGGTCAAACAAGACTATAGTAGGCAGAGTGGCAGGCATAATTGCGAATGCAGATGGATGGATGGCTCTGTGCAGGGCATTGTGTAGAACTCTGTGAATATTAGCTCGTTTAACCCTCACAAGAGTCTACCGGTAGGCATGGGATGGTATTTGTCAGTAGTGCGGGTCTGGATTATGTCTAAGGAAGAAGTCGGGGAGCGGAGCCAAGCCTTCCTCTAGCAACAGCGGAAAGATGAAGGGACACCAAGGCACTGAGTCACAGAGAGAGCAGAGGCATCTGTAGCTGGATGAACTCTCAGATGGCGCGCCTCCTTTGAAGATGTCCAGGGACACCAGGCAGCCTTCAGGGTCACTCGCACAGGCCTGGGGCAAGCAGGGGGACGCTGGGCCACGGTCACAAGAAAGGCACCTCGTGTAAAAGTCAGCATCTTGCAAATATCTCCGTCTCTCACCTGGGTACCTGTGCGGGATGAGCATCCCAGCTGCCACATTGCTGGTGGTTTCAGGAGTGAACTTGTCTGAGAGGACCGTCACGGAGCAGCGGGGGACCAGCTGGGAAATGCACATGGCGGTTGACAGCCCTATCACGCCAGCTCCGACAACTGCAATACGCACTGTGTCCATGGTCTGAGAGGACGGAAATGCAAACCCTCTTTAGGGAGTCATGCTGCCCGGATGAAGTCCAGGCCTACAATTCTCTCCTTACGTCAGGCAGCTTCTCAGAGTAAGACTCCCTCCTGATGTCCCTCCCCATGGGTGAAGTCCAGCGACTCTTTCAGCTCTCCTCCTATTAAACTACAGTGCAAGCTACAAGGTCTCTCCAGGCATTAGCAACCAAACCAGCATCAGCCTAGCTCTTCTGCCACACTCACCGGGGGCAATCACAAGGCATTTGGGGACAGATTTCTAGTCAGGCGCCTGCCTGAACTTTTCCCCTATGGGCACATCCTAGGGAGTGCGGGTGAGGTAAACACGGCCTGGAAAGCTGAAGAACTATGACCTCTGCTCCTAGGACCTGCTGGGGAGCAGACACAGAGGCACTAGCAGCAGCATGTGTGTGATCTGCTTTGGACGATAGCATCAGAGAGCACGTGAGTGACAGAGAACTTTATCGTCTTCCCATCTTCACAGTCTCTGGGAACCAACTCCCCTTTCCCAGCCTCATTCCCAGCACTGTGTCCTCCCTGAACTCTGGGCCTGAATTCCCAACCTGGACTGCACATTTTCAAAATAAGGGAAGCTGGGCTCCTAGCTGGTCTGCGCGATGGATGGCTCTATAACATGAAGGAATGGCCCGTGGCCTTTGAGTCTCCGTGACCTTTGGAAGACGAGATAAAATCAATTCTTATTAGCCCCTTAAGAGGTAAATGAGAAGCCATGGAGGCGGTCTCCCATAGGCCTCTTGTGGGAGGGTACAGGGAAAAGTGTAGGTGTCCCGTACCTGTGGCCAGCACCCCAAGGCTGACATCTTGTGTGGGAGGTAAAGACTGGCAAAACTTTCAGCACCCTCCTACCTCTCACCGAGACAACCGGCAGCCTTGCTTGCTCCCTGCCCAGCTCCCTCTGTCTAGCTCAATTCCCAATTAAGGAGAGAGAGAGAGAGAAAAATATAACAATCATCCCAGTTAGTCATTGCCACTTTGGGGGGGCAAAGTTTTAATACCCAGCCAGCTGTTGGGGCTGTCACCATAAAACCCTGCCCTTGGCACAATTCCTTCTCCCAAAGAGCAATGGCCAGGACATCAGGTCAAGAGGAATCAGCTGTGGCAGACATCATGAGGTCTGGCTCAGGGTGGTTCTCTGCCTCCTCCCTCTCTCCATGTGACCCCCATTCTAGGAGCTCTGCAGCCTTTCCAGGAGGTGTAATGTGCGCCGTTTCTATCACTGAGCTGTGCGTGTGCTTCTGAGCCTAGACACTAGACTGCCAGAGCCAAGGGGAAACAAGAGGAGAGTTCCAGGCACAGGGCAGTCGGGTAGGGAAGGCCAGAGGGGGAGGGGGGAGTCCTGGACATGTTCCCAGGGGGGGTAGTAGACAGCTAGCCATGCCCTTACTAGCCCTATTATATCACAGTGGCTTTGCCTGCCCAGCAGCTTTCTCCGGAGCTCTAATAAGTTAACACAAGGGCAAAAGCAACCTGTGACTACGAATAACCAGCTGCCAGGTTGGGGAAGGAAAGATAGGAAGGACCCTGGAGTGGTGTGACCTGGCAGGCTCTGGCCCAAATCCAAACCAAGCACACCCCCAGGGTGCAGACAGAATGACCCCTGAGCCCAAAGTGAGGTTCAAATACCTGTCTCTGGGAAGGCAATTGTGTGCTCCGGAGGTCCTGGCACCAACCCTTGTTTTCCAGTGACCAGTTAGCCTGGTTTCCTGAGAGACGGGGAAAACAAAACTCCTTCCCATTGGGGAAATTATTAAGGGCATTCTCTCTAAACTGACTCTCCATTGGCCCAATCAACTGTGTCTGCCTCTGCCCAGGAGAGAGGAGCTTGCAAACCCAGCCTGCGAGGGAAGGCTCAGCCACCATGGCCCGTCTTTGTCCGGCTCCCAAGCACTTCCACTCGCCACCAGCCTGGAGTTTCTCCAGCTGATCAGTGTGTGCGGTAAATAAAAGTGGCCTCTCTGGCTTCCAAAAAGTTCCAGCTAGAACCAAACATCTGTTTCCTGATTGCACTGTCCAGGGTTGTCTCCCATCTCCCGTTAGGTACCTGGCTGTGGTGGGCATCTGCAGAGGGTGGGATGAGCCCGGTGCGTGCGAGGCAGCGAAATGCTGTTGATAGCTTGGATGACTGACAGCCTGGTGGCAACTCCGATGACAGTCTGATGGCAGCAGGGAAACGTTCAGAAAATGCATTAGTGGGAGCTACATATTTATAGAAGGGGAGCAGTATTTACTGAGTGTCAACTGTGTGTAAAGCACCGGTCACTACCAAGTTGTTTTCCAGAGAAGCAATTTGATGTATCAAGGTGCAGTGCCCACTGGAGCCAGAAGAGGGCATCGGATCCCCTGGAGCTCGAGTCACATGTCATCTACATGGGTGCTGGTCCGCTGGGAGAGCAGCAAGTGTTCGTAACCGCTGGGCCATTTCCGCAGCCCAAACAGCATTTAATATAATAATATTAACTGTACAGATGTGTTAATCGATTTAGCTTTACCCCTGCGTGTGGCACCGCTGTTGTACTCTCCTCGCTCTGTAGATGAATAAAAACAGAGGCTCCAACACAGTGAGGAAAGGACCGCCGTCTCTTGTGTGATAGGGGCCAGTCCGAGGATCAGACTCGAGGCTCAAGCTAGCAACCACAGCAGGCGTCCTTCCTTCTCCCTGTGAGCCAGTCAGCTGACTCTGAGTCTGTTTCCCTGCCTGGGAAAAATGGTGGAAAGAGGGCTCCATTTGCAAGCTGCCCTACGCCCGTGATGAGCTCAGCTACGCAAGATTCTACGTGGGGCAGTCCAGAGCGGGTAAGACCCGTGTGCCCATGGTCCCCGCGGAACAGTCCCGCGTTTTTCTCCATGCACTCATACACCCAGCAACCGAATCTCCGGCAGACTTCTCATCCGGCTCACTTCAGTCGGGCACCTTTTACCTGGAGGTGGCACCAGATGCCACAGCTTGAGGGCCCACTCCCCTAAGACTTGCTTGCCCCTTCTCACATTTCAGATGCCGATCCCGAACCTCAGATTGTGCCCTGTGCTTCAGGCCTATCAGTAGCGTCACAAATCGGGGGGTCCTGCAGTGCCTGGCAGTACCATCAGGGTCACTGTGTGCCTGGCAGAACGCAGGGGGCTCGGTCAGCTATAAAGCCTGCAGAGGAAGAGCCAGAGGAAGCTGCTGACCCTGTCCTCTCAGATTCTTGTGTAGACTTAACGTCCACAGGTGTTATCACTGGCTACAGCTTTGTTCATTGGGGATCGGTTCTCCCTTCCCTGGAGACGGCGGAAGGGTTCTGAGTCTACCATCTAATCACGCCGTGGTCCTTTCCATCCCCAGGCTCTTTCATGGAGCAGGCCCTATACAAAAGATGTTCCTATCGCTCCAGGATCTAAGGGCTTTTAGGAGCTATCGCGAACTGAGAATAAAAGCCAAAGGTAGACTGCATGGTACCCCAGGGACACCCGTATTTTACCAAGCGGGTTTAATAAAAGAATTGAAGCTGGGAAGGAAGACTGATATACAACATATATAGCCAAAAATGTGCAAGACCTGTTTGAAGGAGATTATTATTTCATTAAGAGGCATTAGAAGGTAACCCAGGCAAACAGGATGCTGCCTAATGTTGTCAATGTGACACAAGCTAGAGTCTCCTGAAAGGAGGGAGCCTCGATTGAGGAAATACCTCTGTAAGATCAGGCCGTAGGGCATTTTCTTAATTAGTGATTGATGAGGGAGAGCCCAGCCCATTGGGGGTGGTGACCCCTGGACAGGTGGTCCTGGGTTCGGTAAGAAAGCAGCTGAAGAAGTCATGGGGAGCAAGTCAGTAAGCAGCTCCCTCCCACGGCCTCTGCGTCAGCTCCTACCTCCTGGTTCCTGACTTCCGTCAGTGACCAGGAACTGTAAGCTGAAACAAACCCTTCCTTTCCCAAGTTCCTCTTGGCCTTGGCCTTTCCATCATAGCGGTGGAAAACCCAAGAAAATCTTCTCTCTTCTTGTCCCTGTTTTACCGTGTCTATTACTTAAAAGGAGAAACTGCTTTTTGTTTGTTTTACTTTTTATTTCATATGTGTAAAGTCTAAATGAAGAGCTAACAGTTACCCCAGGGACTGGATTAGTATAAAAGTCTAAGTAATTCAGGCCAAGTGGGTCCTTTATTTCCCTTAGCTATTCTTTTTAAGTTCACACAGCTGCTTCTCAGACTAACCCCCAACACACACACACACACACACACAGACTGCTTCATCAATTATCATTAAGCATAAGATGATACTCAAAAGCAGACTTCCACATGCAAAGGAAACAAATAGTAAATTTAGATGAAATCAGAATCAGGAAAGCCCCCAAGAGAAATGCTTGATAAATCTGAGATACATTAGTAGGTAAGGTTACAAAACCATTAGTAATTGAAATGTCCAAGATGTTAAGCTATTTTTAAAAGACCTTGGATTAAAGTGAGGTTAAGAGACAATTTTTAGTAAATAGAAATAAAATAAATGTGCAGTTACTTGTAATGAGAATTTTTAAAGATGTATTGATTTCTGTTTTATGTGTATGGCTGTTTTGTGCTATCCTATCTGCCCATTCACCACTGCATCCAGTCCCCACAGACATGGGTTGAGCGCATCCGGTCCTCTGGAATTTGAGTTCCGGATGGTTGTTAGCAGCATTGTGGGTGCTGGGAACCAACCCAGCTCTTCTGCAAGGGCAGTAAGAACTCTAACTGCGGAGACTGTCCAGTCCCCTTAAGAGAACAGGAAGACACAGGCGTTAACGTTGGCAACAGAGTCGAGTGGACCCTCGATCAGTCTCCCTGAATGCTGTGTTAACTTCACAGAGCATTCGCCATTTCTCTATGCTGTCCAATGAACAGAACCTGGTAAATCTGGGAAAAGAATTAAAATGTCAGACTAAATACTGGTTTCCCGACCCCTGGCGGATACAACTGGCCCAAAGCCGAGTGTGCTGGTTTGCACTTTCAAGTGCACTGGAAATCGAGACATCCTTTTTAAATGCTGGCATCTTATGATTTCTTCCTGAAGGCAAACACCCTTTAACAATGTGTTTGTGAGGAAGATTCACAAACAAGGAAAGAACATCAGAATTTCCAAGGGGCTTTGTAAACAAACAAACAACAACAAAAACCACTCGTGAGCCTGGTGCACGGCAGGTCATTCTTCTAACACCAGCACCCAGGAGGTTGAGGCAAGAGGGTGGCCATGATCTTGGACCCAGCCTAGGCTACTGTGTGATACTCTGTAAAGGAAGATGGGGGCGGGGGAGGGGGGGCAGGAGAAGAGGGGGGAGAGGGCACTGGGATTGGTGTGTAAAATAAGATTGATTTAAAAATAAATAAAAGACTAAAATAACCTTTTACACTGAGAAGACTTAAAAGCAAGCGAAAGCGAGAGAGGCGCGGATGGGGCGGTCCCTGGTACCCATGGAAACCCCTAGCATCCCTCAAACCTGAGCCTCGGCAAAGCAAGAGGCAAGGAGGCCGGGGGCAGGGAGGGGGGCCAGGGGACCACTGCAAAGAAAAGTAAGCGAGGGGCAAATAAGTAACAACCCACAGCTTAAAAAGAGTTACAGTTCTCCTACTGGTTTTTATTTCACTGACTTTTACAAAACAATCGTTTAAAACTTCCTCTCGATGTTTTTTATGCAGGTACATAAGTAACGTGTGGGGGGGGGGTCCGAATAGCACCTCTCTTAACAGAACAAAGTCACTCCTGGCCACATCCCAAGTGCTGGGCGCCACAGAAGAGCACCAGGACCCCCCCAGGTCAATCACCCCCATGTTTTCTGCGTTCCTATTCTCAGCTGTGGGAGGGGCTTACTCCGGACTACCCTGCTCGACTGTGGGAGGGGCTCTGCCTGGACCACCCTCGTTTCCCCCCACTCGCTCTTGAGTTCTCTCCCAAGTAGATGCCAATGGTTTGTTGCTGGTTTCTGGAAGCTTCAGTGACAGCAGTCCGCTCACTATGGCCAGGATCCCAAATAAAATCTAGAGGAAATGTTTAAAAAAAAAAATAACAATAACAATAATGTAAGTGACGTACAAAAAAGGAAATGTACCCTTCAGAGATTAAGAACTCACTGAACCCTCCCCCCCCAGGGCAATAAATAGAGTTAGCATTAACAGTCAGTGTGTTTGTTCCTTGCTGAGGCCTTGTCTTTGCTTGTACTGGGGTGGGAGTTAATTTTAGCACCATCGAGGCTTAAGCTCAATTCACTCATTCACAAACCACTGAGGGGACATCTAGCCGAGAAACGCCAGCTCCTGCTTCCTTTATTTCCCTTGGAGGCTCTGCTTTAGGGATTGGCATGAAAGAAAGAAAGGAAGAAAGAAAGAAAGAAAGAAAGAAAGAAAGAAAGAGAGAGGAGGAAAGAAAGAAAGGAAAGGAAAAGCCCCTGTGTTTTTTCCTAGACCCCAGAGTGTACAGAAACCAAGCAAGTGAGCCCTGAGTTCATCAGCCCTGTCCATGTCCCAGAGACTAGTATACTGTATCATCCAGGGTTATGGAGTTCCTGACCCCTGGGAAAAGACCACAGATTCAATCCAATTATAATTAAAGGAGTGATTGATTACTGCTAGCAGGAGTGCAATCTCTGTGCCAAACTTGAGGTTGCCATGAGAAGAGGGGGTGAAGGGCAGAATTTCAAACGCAGCAAACACAAGAAGACCTTGAGGATCCACACAATTGAGCCATGAGCTGTTTGACTCTGCCAAGATTAGGTAGTCGAGGCCACCCGAACATCTGCATAGGCAGGTTACAGAGCCCCAAATCAGTTAGCCAAAGCATAACACCCGTAAACGGTCACGGCTTACACCTCTGGGTGGGGGTCGCCGAGTCAGGGCTACTGGGGATTATCGTCCAGGGACAAACAGGTAGTGGGCACCAAGATGGATGCCTAGCATAAAAGGAAATCTTTTTAGCCATCATGCCAGTAGATGAGGAGGAGGAGGAACAAATAAATGAATGAAATGTCCAATGAGTCAGAGCCTACAGCGATTGGGACACAAAGCAAAGATGGAATTGATGGGGAGGAAGTATGCATCTGACTTCCTATAAAATCCCACTGTGCAGCCTAGCCTCAAATTCATAATCCTCCTGCCTACACCTCCAGAATTCCGGGACCCCGGGCACAGGTCCTCACCATGCCATGCAGCAATAATTGCTAGCCAGGCAGTAGACGTGTCCCCGACTCTTTCTCCGTCCTGCTGCCCTGACCAATTCCCAGCACCCCACAAACTTCAAAAACCACCCCAGCAGATCTCCGCCCCTCAATCCTCCTGCCCCGACAAATCTCTCTGTTCTAGTTAGATCCATTAGTCCTTTACGTTCGTACCTTCCTCCCCTCCTTCCCAGATTCACGACACCTTTTCCTTCCTGGTGGCTTTCCCGCAGTGAAAACCAGTCTTAAGCCATTATAACCCACATACCCACTATGCTTGGGTCCTTGTCACGTGGCGCCCCTGCGGTCTTGTGTGAGCTACTTAATATCCTGGCTTCCCAGTTTCCTAATCTATAAGGTGGAACTCAGTGGGGGGGGGGGGGAAGCCTGGGGAAACAGCGCCACCAACAGTGTCTGCTGTACAGAGAGGGTTTGAGAGGATCCCCAGCACACATTAAAGACAATCGTCAGGTGAGACAGAATGCACCCATCATTCCAGCACTGGGAACTGCACAGCTGGATCCCTGGAGCACTGCCTAGCCAAGTCAGGAGGCTCCAGTCTGTAACAGGATAAATAAGAGACCCAGAGACTGACATTGGGGTTCAAGCTTCAAGCTGAAGATCAATAAAGCAAAGAAGCCGGTCACTAGCTTTTACCCTTACCCCAGGCTGAATAGGCTGGTCTGCTGCCTCTCCTCAGTGTGGCTGGAGAATCCTGAGACTGAATGTCTTCCTACCCTCAAAGTGGCTGGAGAATGAATGCCTGATACTGACTACTGAAGGCCCTGCTCCTATCTTTTATACCCCTCCAGTGCTGAGATCAAAGGCGTGTGATTCCCAGGTGCTGAGATCATCTTTGTGTGAGCTGTTTCTCTTTAGGACTGGGTCAGTCTTGTGTAGACCTGGGTGGCCTTGGACTCACAGAGATCCATCAACCTCTTAATCCCGAGTCCTAGGACTAAAGGTGTGTACCGCCACCTCCTAGCTTCTGGCTGCTGGGATTAAAAGGTGTGTGCCTGGCTTCTACGGCCTGTGGCTGACTTGGCTTTCTGAATTCTCAGGCAAGCTTTAATAAATCGCAAAAAATACATCACCACACAGTTCAGTGAGAGACCTTGTCTCGAAGTGCAATGTGGAGGACCAGCAAGGTGGATCAGCAGGTAACGGTGCTTGTCACACAAGCCTGACAACCTGAGTTCAATCCCCAGGACCCACTCAAGGGTGGGAGGAGAGGATTGGGACCACGGAGCTGCCCTTTCACCTCTGCGTACCTGAGCTGTATGTATGTATGCCCATATGCACATACCGCACACCCACAAAGCTCTTTACAAGGTGAAGACTAGTTGAGGAAGGCACCTGGTAACAACCTCTGGCCTCCACACACCCAACCTCTGTGCATACACCCACAGGAACACATACGTGGGCACATAAAATTCCAGCACCCGCTACCAGGACTGCTGAGGTATTGGTGTATTTGAGGCTGGGACAGTGCCTGGCCCACCATAAACAATCCATACATAGCTGCTGTCACTGTCTCGTGACAATCGTGCTCAAGGTTCTTTCACTCCTGGAGTGAAAGCCTATCAAGGAGCACATGTGTGTGAGTTCCCTTGCCACCCTGTCCCCAGGTCCTTCTCAGCTCTCCTGGCCCAGGACCTCTGAGACTCGACAGCCCTCCCCCACAAGCTGATCTTCCCAGGCAATCAGGGAAGTTCCTGTCCTGCTCTGTCCTAGCTGCTGTCCTCACCACCCCTGCCCTGTGGAGCTCGGTTCTAGTGACACACCTCCTAGCCCTTCCCAAGTAGTACTAGTCCCCCTGACTAAGCAGCCAAATACATGAGCCTGTGGGGGTCGTTCTTACTCAACCACCACATTCTACTCTCTGGCCCTCACAGTGCACACAATGGCCTCTTTGGGCCCTGGCACATGCCTGGCCCCGGTGGCTTTCCTTAGCTGCAGAGGAAAATTCCTCAATCCCCTTTTCATTATATCCTTGACTCTAAAACAAAAGTCCCGTGACCGAAGCTGTCGGGCTCCGCTACCTGATGGAGCTGGAACGTGGCCCCCTCGTTCAAATACATTTTCATCAGATTTCTGTTTCGCGGTGCCCTTCACTGCTCACACTTTTCTTTAACTCCTTTTCACAAGTTGGAAGCTTACCTGGGTGGGGTCTTGCCCCGAGGTAACCACTCCCTTTATTTCATTCAGCGTCAGACTTTTCTTTAAACTTTTTATCTCCTCGAGCACTGGACTTAGCTCCATTACATTTCATGATGCTCCTTTGCTTAAGAGTGGCTACTAATAACCACGTGATACAGTCAACACGAGGCTGTCTTGAAATCTTTCTGCCAACACCATTAATCCGAAACGCTTCAGTTTAGCCTCAGGCAGACACATCCTTCACAAAAATATCACAGGGACAGTCTCTAGGCCTTGTGCTAATTTTCTGCCCTTCTGAAACCTCTATTGTAGCTGGGCCATCGTAATTTGCACAGGTCTCAGCAACACTGTCTTCCATACTCCTACTAGTGCGGCCCATTATGTCCTACTTAAAATGTCCAACTGCTTTCCTAACCCAAAGTTCCAAAGCCCACGTTCTGCCAACAAGCCTCATGACCAGGCCTGTCACAACAATACCCACTCCCTGGTACCAACTTCTGTTTCAGTCACTGCTCTATTGCCAGGAAGAGACACCATCACAATGGCAACTCTTCTAAGAGAAGGCATTTAGTTTGGACTTGCTTGTGGTTTTGGAGGTTTAGACCATTATCATCATGGTGGGGAGCACAGGGGACACACAGGTAGGCATGGCGCTGTAGAAAGCACTGGGAGCTCTACATCCAGATCTGTAGACAGCAGGAAGACTGAGACACTTGTTGGGGACCATAGCCATCCTCTCTACCTCAGGTCTCTGAGATAGAAAATCACTGCCTCTTGAGAAATAAGCAGTGTTCAGCAGAGCAGAGCATTCCCAGACACAGGCTTGCGATTTTACAGCCAGTTAAAGAATAGCTAAACAGCTCAGGGCTATCTCTCCTGCTACAGTTTTACAGCCGGTTAAAGATTAGTTCAGGACATTCCTTCTACTGACCTCTTCACCCTGCCCACGGTCCTATATAAGCCTCCCCTGAGAAAATAAAATGTGTCAGCTTGACCAGAATCCTGTCTTTCTGTCCTTTGTATCCCTGGTCCTTCCTTTCCTGCTAGGTGTTTCCTGGCTTGTCGTTGACTGCCCTGCCCCTGCGGGTCGGAGCAGACACTGAGCCTGGCTAGAGCTTTTGAAACCTCGAACTCCAGCCCCAGTGTCACCGCCTCCAACAATGCCACACCCCCTAATCCCCTCAGAGAGTGCCACTCTTATTCAAACCACAACACTCTGTCTCCTTTATGGTGAGAGACCTTGGCCAGTAATTATTTTCTGCTAGTCTCCCTCCATCCTTGTAAATGAAGGAAACAGTTGCATCTGCTTTATACAAAAAAGTAACATCAGCAAAGCGCTTAAACCTAAGCCCACCCGAGTATCTGTTAAAGACCTCTGTTCTTCTATAACTCTTAAAACACCCTTGCAAATATCCTTCCCTATAATTATTTAATTCTTTATGTGAATCTACAGCAGTTTTCTTTTATGGATTTGTCTGTCTTCTTTTTGTGAGTTTGACTCCTTGTTTTAAATAACATTTTTATCTCTCTCCTTCCTCCCTCCCCTCCCTCCCTCCCTTCTTCTAAGAAACAAAGTGCTAGCTCAAAGGAGAAAGTCTCACAAAGTCCCATTCCTTACAATGGGTGGTGGACTCTCCCTGAACACGTGCTATGCACACCAGGTAGCCTATGTTCTTTCTTTTCCTATAAGCAAGTTCTCTTGCGTCTTATTGCACTTAAAACTTGCATAGCTAACTTTATTCCAGTCTGGTCTGGTAAGCTATCAATAACTTCGAGACCACTTGGCTCAATAAGAGCTGGGTACTTATTGTGCACCACTGTAGTTGTGGGCATCAGTTTTCAACAAGATGGCATACTGCTTAATTCCCACTTCTTCAGCGCTAGGCAGTTACTGGCAAAGATGACCAATTCCACTTGACTCACCTAAGCATTTGTGTGATTTACTTTGTACCCGAGCATATACTTTTAACTCGGCATAACAATTTGGAGCTTAGGGGAGGCAGAGACGGGCAGGGGACGGGCTCTCCATCCAGCCCAGACTGCTTGTTAATCCCAGGTCACCTCAAACATGAGTGGCGCCTGGGGAACACATGAGGCTGACCTCTGGCCTCTGCACACGTGCGCGCGCACAGAATGCATCCACATCTGTACACACATGCACGGATATGTTAGTAGTCAGAAGAAGGTGGTTCTTGTGAGGAGATCTGAGATGTGATAACTGACAGATGTGAGGAGGCGTAGGAAAGAGCGATGGCGTGAATAAAAGGCCACGCCCAAGTGTTGAGCTTGAGGTCATTAACTCACCCTTGACTGAAAGTGTGAGGTGGTGGGGGGGGGCTTTAAATGGCCTACCAGCTCCAAAGAGACCCAGACAGAACAGTCATGGGGCGAGGCTAGCAGCTTGGAAGAGAAGAGAGGAGAGGACCCAGCAGCGTGGGGGAGGGGGCACGCATGCGCCTTAGGGAAAGGAGCACTAGAGAGGCGGAGAGGTGTGGAGGAGCAATCGCCAACAGAATTTGGAGGACAGCGGCCATATGTGAGGGTCCCACACCCCAGGAGTGGAGTGGAGTGACATGCACCACCATACCTGCCCTCCATCCTCCCCAGCTCCATATTCCTCCCGATTGGAAGATCCAGGTAGACCCAGTTATGACCCAGCCGCTTCCCGGCCTCTCTGTCCCTCCATGTGGCTCTGAGCACGGCTGTTCTCACTCTCCAAACCCACACGGCAGCTCATGTTGCCAGGGCCACAGGAACTCAAGAGGGAAGCCTCTTCCAAGATTTTCCCAGAGCAAGAGGCCGGCTACGGGAGTGCCTTAGCGCTCAACCACTGAGGGCTGGGCTAGGCGGTGAGACAGAGGCCTGAGAGGTGACAGAGGGCCCTTCTGCTGAAATGCTGCTGGTGGCAGCTCCAGGCTAAGAGCAGGCGATAAAACCATCCCACCTCCTACTTACCCGCTGGTGAGCGCTCCTGTTTCAAGAAACCTCCGTTACACAATGGTTATATTGGTCTCCAAAGGATAAAAACAGAAATGACGGAATTGGCTTTCTCACCCCTCTGCTATCCCAGTGTCTAGACAGTGATAAGGACCTGTGGCATGATGATCCAGACTTTGGTGAGACGCCCCGTGAGAGGGATAAGGATGCTTGCCACTCGGGACACCATACTGCTGCTCCCCACAGCCCAGCACCTGAAAACACCAGGAGAATTCAGACGCTGGTAACAACGGCAGCCACCTGCCACCCCTCCTCACGCTCCACCATGAGGAGAAATAATAACACTCAGAAGTAAGTCAGATGGTTCCAAAACCAACAACTTCCACCTTCAGTCTGGGAAATAACGTGTATATGAGCATGCATGTTAGAAAGGCACAAGCCAGCTTTAATCTACTGTTTAAACGAGGCCCGTATGTATCCAGATCCAGCTCAATAACAAGGATCAGACAGACACATTTGTTTAGGGGAGGGTATGGCAACTTGGGAGAACAAAATATTTGTCTATAATGTCTGTTAGTATCAAATGGCATCTTTAAGATTTTACTTTTTGTACTTTTTGTTTTGGCGTGTGTGTGTGTGTGTGTGTGTGTGTGTGTGTGTATAAGCCAGAAGGCAGGTGCTGGATCCCCTGGGGTTAGAGTTATAATCTGAACTTGTATGTAATGTACAGGCACCCACCACAGAGTCAAGGATTTGACTCAGGCTACAACTCAAGAGGGTAATAGTATAAGGGGTGACGTTAGCCTGTTAGCCCCATTGCCCAGGGTCAGATAACTTCCTGGGGTGTGGGGGCTGCTGTTCACGGGAGATAACAGTGTGCTTGATCACACAGAGCTGGGAGATGCATAGGCAGGAAGTACGTCAGGACGTATGCTTGCCCCCATTGGACAAAGCCTTGTGGGTTCTGCCTTTAGGAGCCCCTGACTGGCCTGATTGAGTACCGTTCTCTGGGAGTCCTGGCTGGGATTTAACAAAGCTTGCTTTAGTTAGACAGGCATGGATTTGGTCTCTCTTCTCCGGTTTCAGGGTCAGCAAGCACAGTCAGCCACCCGATGTGAGTTCTGCACAAAGCTGGCTACAGGTCAAACCCCAGTTCTCAGATATGCTAGAAGCTGTGGCCTGAATGGAAAATGTTCTCACAGGCTCATGTGTTCAAACACTGACACACACACACACACACACACACACACACACGCCCCCAGCTGGAGGCACTGTCTGGGAAGGTTATGGGGCCTTTGAGTCTTAAAGGAAGTGTGTCACTGGGCAGGCTTTGAGGTTCCGTAGCCTGACCCTGCCTCTTTTGCTCCCTAAAGGGCTGCTGATGTAACAGAACAGGCCAGCTTCATTCCCCTGCTTCCATGCCTTCTTGAAACGGACTTTGTCCGGGGCCGTTTTCATAGCAACAGTAATGAAACGAATACCAAGCACAGAGACATTGGTCACAAGTAGTGGGACCATTGCTGTGGTGACCCTGGCCATGTGAACTTTAGGCCTTTGTTCTATGGAAGGCATGCAGGAGCCACTGAATGCTGCTACAAGAGCCTGGTGGGCCATTCTAGAGGGAGCCTGGAAGGCGGTGATGCTCAGAGAAGCGACAGTGGATGCTGGAGCCGGTGGACTTGTGTGTCAACTTGACACCAGCTACAGTCATCAGAGAAGGGACACGGTGTGTGGAGCCATCCCTAGGCTGTCGCTCCCGGGTTCCATAAGAAGGTCAGCTGAACAAGCCATAGGAAGCAAGCCAGTAAGCAGCCCCCTCCCATGGCCTCTGTATCCGCTCCTGCTTCCGGAATCCTGCCCTGTTTGAGTTCCTGTCCTGACTTCCTTCTGTGATGAACAGCAATGCTAAAGTGTAAGCCTGATAAACCATTTCCTCCCCAATTTGATTTTTGGTCATGGAGTTTTCCTCAGAGCAATAGAAACCCTAGCTAAGACAGATGCCTAGCTCAGGAATTGAGGGGGGAATGAGAATTGGGCTGAGAACTCATGTGCTCTCTTAGCAAAGAATCCACCTGCATTCTGTTCACGGTCTAAGAATTTACATGAGACCAGATTTTAAAATAACAGACTAATTCCACAATAGCACAACATTGGGTCTGTGGAAGGCTATTACTGATTACTCTCAAGCAGATCTGTAGTAAAAATGAGCAATAAATAGGGCAGAAAGTAAACAAAAAATGCGCCGTTTGGGGAGGAAAAGAACAGCGGAGAGCTTAAGCGTGCGGTCAGGGTGCGTGCTGAGAAAGAGCCTGCATTAAAGAGAAGCCTCCCGACCTTTGAGGGACAGGGAAAGACCATCGGGGCTTGTGAACAGGGAGCCCAAGGGCATTTCTGCTCCTGGAAAGCAACTACTAGGGAAGTGTTCAACCAGCTTCAGCACATGGAAGGCACTGGAACTGTGGTCCACTGTGGTCCACACTGGCCAGCCGCCATCCACAGCTGGAAGCAGGGTTGGTCACATGATTCTGACTTGGGAGGCATGAAAGATGCAGCCCATCCCTTGCTAATGCCCAGCTCTGTTTCCACAATGCTTGTGCACATTTCCGCTGAATGGCAGGATGGGCCCAGAAATGTAGATCTGAGTTCTTTATGACTTTGGTCAAGAAGCTAATCTCAGCTCCACAATGTGTAAACTGCAGACAACAGAAGCAACCTCAACGCACACGTGTACACACACATGCACACACACACACACACACACACACACACACACACACAGCGGTAACATAATTGTGGGTGAACAGTTAGCTAATATCCTTTGCAAAAAGCTAAATGTCAGGTTCTTTTTTTTTACTTATTTATCATATATATATATATATAAAATGTTTTGCCTGCATGTATGATTGCACACCAGAAGGGAGCACCAGATCTCATTACAGATGACTGTTAGCCACCATGTGGGTGCTGGGAATTGAACCTGGGTCCTCTGGAAGAGCAGCCGGTGCTCTTCACTTCTTAGCCATCTCTCCAGCCGTCAGGTTCTTCTTAGTCACCGGCGAGATTGGCTTTTTTATAGGCCAAGAAATAGACTCACTAAAAATAAATAATTTTTTTCCTTAGAGAATAAAAACTTCTTCCTGGTATCAAGGTAAATGCCTATAATCCTAGCACTCTAAGGGGTTAAAGAAAGAGGAACACAAGTTCAAGGCCAGCCTAGGCAGTTTAACAAGACCTTGTCTCAAAATCAAAACTAAAGGGGGAAAGTGATTATGGATACAGCTCAGTGGTAGAGTGCTTGTCTAGCATGTGTGAGGTTCTGGGTTTAAATGTCTATACAGAAGCGAAGATGAGGGACGGAGAGAGGGAGGGAGGGAGAGAGGGAGGGAGGGAGGGAGGAAGGGAGGGAGGGAGGAAGGGAAACTGCTCAATTAAGTGGGTGATAGGTAAAGGTTCCTGGGAGGATTGGGAGGACCTGTCAGCAGGAAACTATTCTAGATCTTTAAGAGGAAGGTGGGTCACTGGCCTTTCACAGTGTTATTCTAACACTGATCACTATTTAAACTTTAAAGTTCAAGACAATTGTGCAGACCAAGGTGGGAAGCACACTGGAGGAAGGCCCTTTCCTGACACCTCAGGGTCCCAACTATGTGCCTGCCGGCAGATGTGCACTGTCTCCAGCCTCCACTATCTTGTCCAGACCAAGGGGCTGCAGTAAGAGCTTTGAGAGCTGCAGGATGCACCAGTGGAGGGTGCATGTTCTTCCGTGGTGTGCTGGCTAGTCTAATGTCAACTTGACATGCAAACTAGAGTTATCTGAAAGGAGGGAGCCTCCGCTGAGAAAATGACTCCATAAAATCCAGCGACAGCATTTTTCTTAATTAGTGATTGACGGGGGAGGGCCCAGCCCACTGTGGGTGATGCAATCCCCTGGCTGATGGTCCTGGATTCTGCAAGAAAGGAGGCTGAGCAAGCCATGGGGACCAAGTCAGTAAGCAGCATCCTCCGTGGCCTCTGCATCAGACCCTGCTTCGAGGATCCTGTCCAGTTTGAGTTCTCTTCCTACCTTCCTTCAGTGTTGAACACTGATATGGGAGGGTAAGCCAGATATATCCTTTCTTGCTCAAGTTGCTTTTTGGCCATGGTGTTTCATTGAAGCCACTGAAACCCTAAGACATGCAACAACCTAGAGCAAAAGGAGCCAAGACCAGAGGAGACTCCAGCACCTGACCAGAGCTCCCAAAGAGCCTATGTTCTTCATGTGGCATTTTCATGGGAAATGGTGGGAAGCCTCTCCCAAGGTCTAGAAGGGCCCTGGACTCCTGGATTGCCAAAACAGTCTCCAAGAAAGCAAGCAACAACTCAGAATCACCTGTGAACTTGCCTGCTCTCCTGGAGGGTCTGCAGGTGCAGTTCCAGGACGGAGGTTTTTGTGTCAGATCCCGGAGAGTTTCTTACAGCTTGGGGATGTTCCTGATGAGGTCATCTCAGGGAGCCAGGGACATGGTGCCAGGTGCTAAACTATGTCCCCTCAACATGCAGGTGCTGAAGTCTTTACTCTCCCCACACACATTGTCTTAGACTTTGGAGCCAAGGTCAATAAAGAAGAGGTTGCATAAAGATAGGGGTCCTAATTCAGTAGAACTGGTGCCCCATAAGAAGGTGGACAGCCACCAGAGTGGCCACAGAGCTTAGCCCTTGCAAAGCCATGGTGATAAGATTATAGTGATAAGCCAAGGGTGGCCTCCAGTATGCTGACTTGGATCTGAGACTTTGTGCCTATTCAACTAAGAGAAAGTCATCGTTTAGCCACACCCGCTCCAGCGAATGCATATGACACCATCAGAATACTCAGAAACATATCTGAGCAAACCAGCCTTGTGTTACACACACAGCCAGCAGACCCTATTTTATTTGGTGTTAGGTTAATGGTGTTACTTCAAGCCAGGCATGGTGGTGCATGCCTTTAATGCCAGCACTTGGGAGGCAGAGGCAGGCAGATTGCTGTGACTTGAGGCCACCCAAGAATAGTTCTGGGACAGCCAAGGCTGTACAGAGAGACCCTGTCTCAAACAAACAAACAAAAACAAAAAACAAAAACAAACTAAGAAGTGTTACTTCAAATTAACCCCTTAATTTCCTTGCTAATGAATTATAAACAATGCCTTGAACTCAAATTTAACACCATCATGTAATTTTCCCAGATCTGGGAGTTCTGGGGGAACATCCACAGAAAGGATGCATTTGTATTTAAAAACCAAATACAATAAAATGACATAAAGTGAAAACTAACAGGACTCCAACAAAATAAAATTATGAATCCTTACCTTACAATTGTTGGGTACAGCTCTGCCGTGTAAATGAAAATGAAGGCAAATGTTGATCCTATAACAGTTTTGACAACCAAAACCACCACTAACTTCAAAGTCTTGTGACTCTGAAGGCACACACAAAAAAAGGAAATCTGGCGTCATTAAAATCACTTAAAACTTTCATATTCCAGCAGCATGTTTTAAAACAACAACGGGTTTAATTTCCTATGTGAATAGGACCTCCATAACTCTGGCTAGTGTACCACACAAACTTACTCTGAGAATATAATTCATATTAAGTCCTAAGATGTGGGGTGCAAACGTCACTGTATCCCAGCAACTGCAACTGTATCGATCCTGGCGATTGCCATTGCACTCTGTGTCTGATACAGATGTAAAAAGCCTGGTGGCTCTCAATGACATTGTCACAGTCTCGCTTGTACTGTGGCCCCTCCAACCTGGCCTGATTCAATTCCTTGTGGCCGTATCAGGTGACGTTGGCCCGGTAAGTGCGGGCGCTTACAACGCTCCCCTCGGTTTGTCACTGCTGGCCATGTGTCAGCTGGAGAGGTGTATCCCCTAGACGCCTGCCAGCCTCTCTCTCTCTCTAATTCACACAGGTATGGGGCCACTCTCCTTCCCTCACCCCATTTTGTTTTTCATTACAGAAACTAGACTCGCCGGCCTTCATTGCGTGATGCGTGGTTCTTGCTGACTTCGCCCTGCTGAGTGAGTGAGTGAGTGACTGGGTGTTAAATCCCACACAGCGGCCTGGGGATAGCGTGGCTCAGTTGGTAGAGTGCTTGCTTGACATGCGTGAGACCCTGAATTCATCCTCAAGCACCGGGTACATGGTAGTGTGACCCTGCAATCCCAATGCTTAGGACGAGACAGGATAAGAAGCTCAAGGTCATTCTTGGGTACATATTGAGTTTGAGGCCAGCCTGAGCTGCAAGAAAACCCTTTTCAAGGAAAGAAAATTCCAGAACCACTGGTGGGTATAATCAACTTCCCAGGAAATTGTTGCTTTTCTAAAATACAACATGAAAGAGAGACATCTCCCTACGATAAACACAGTATTTACATAAAAGAGAAAGAATGTGTTTTTTAAGAAGATTCCTTTAAGCCAGGCAGTGGTGGCACACGCCTTTAATCCCAGCACTGGGGAGGCAGAGGCAGGAGGATCTCTGTGAGTTCCAGGCCAGCTTGGTCTGCAGAGTGAGTTCTAGAACAGCCAGGATTGTTTCAAAAAACAAAACAAAACAAAACAAAACAAAAAAAGATACGTTTAAATAGTATCTATATACTGTGTCCATATGTTTGAATCGGTCTTCATACTAAAAGACACTAAAAGTCTTTCCCTCAAACTGTCACAGCCATTCATAAATAAAGCAAATGACTCACCCAGGGTATGGCCAAGTGCACAGCGCAGGCGAAGGATGAAAGCAAAAGGCAGAAGACCATAGTGTTTCTTCTCCCCACCCTCTCCAACAAGAGGCACGTGAAGAAATAGGCAGGGATTTCCATAGCACCTGTCATTGAGCCGAAGAGCCCTGTGTGAGACCGCTGTGCAGACACAAGGTGACCCCACACGTCCGCCCACCACCCTGAAGGAGCTTCCCAGCGCTGTCTGCGTGGTCCCATGTTTCTACCCCCTGGAACAAGACAAGTGTTCCCTGTGAAACCACCCAGGCCCCTCGCAATGTCCCGGGAGCTGAGCTCGCTAGGACCCTGGTGTGGTGCCTGGAGGTCCGTGCTCGTGAATGAATAGAGAGTGCAGAGAATGGGAGGGACTCCTTGTGCTTGGCAGAACTGGGAGGGAGTGTTTACAAAGTGCATCTTCAAACAAATAAAAATGGAGGCCATAGTTTGTGTAAGACCTCCACCTCCACCACCGGCACCAAGCCAACTGCATTCAGCCACCCTGATTTCTGACATCTATCGCTAATCACAAAAGCAACACAAGGCCAGCTTTACAGTTATTAGTTCGGGGTGGCAAAATCAGACCACTTCTACAGCTCCCCTCATCCTAAAAGAGCGCTGGCATTACACCCAGTCATAAAAAGTCAACATACTTCCTCCTTACGTTTTCAACGGCGCTGTCTCTCACTTCAAAACCTATGTTGTGGCGCAATCAACTTCTTTTCTTTGTTGTTCTCTTTTTCAAGACAGGGTTTCTCTGTATTGATTTGGCGCCTGTTCTGGCACTCGCTCTGTAGACCAAGCTGGCCTCGAACTCACAGGAGATCTGTCTGCCTCTGCCTCCCGAGTGCTGGGACTAAAGGCGTGCACCACCAACACCCAGCCCACAATAAACTTCTTAAAAATATGTAAGTTAAAGCCAAAAAAGAAAAAAAAAGTGAGCTGGTTATTTGTGGCACCCACCTTTAACCCCAGCACTCGGGAGGCAGAGGCAGGTGGATCTCTGTGAGTTCAAGGTCAGCTTGGTTTACAGAGCGATTTCCAGGAAAGTCTCCAAAACAATACAGAGAAACCCTGTCTCAAAAAAAAAAAAAAAAAGTGATTTAATTTTTTGATAAAATTAAAGTAGCAAGCTGCTAACTAAAATAGGAACTAAGCATATTAATAACAACCACTTACTATATATATTTTAAAGACAGGGTCTCATGCATCCCCAGGCTATCCTCAGACTCACTGCGTTGCCAAGGATAAGGATCACCTTCAGTGTCTGACCCCCTGCCTCCCCGTCCTGAGTGACCAAATGACAGGCACTAGGCCTTCACTGATACAGTGCTGGGCATTGAGCCCGGGGCTTCGAGCACGCCGGGCAAGGACTCCACCAACTGAGCTATAACCCAAATTCCCATGTGTTAGATTTTAATCCTAAAGCGAAACATTTTAAAGATCTGATAGTCCCTTGTGGGCAGGGCCTTTGTCTTGGAGCTCTCTTTACTTGGCTAGAAGAATGAAGGAAAGCCTGGCCCCATACAGTTACAGACCCACTCATGCAAAATTCCTCACCATATAGATGCAAAGCTTGACTCTTATATCAAAAACATGAAAGTCTTGGGCACAGCTGTGCCACGAAGCATCCTAACCCTCCATGCACACTACACACCGCATTCGTCCCCTGCCATTTGCTGCCACTCTAGGAAAAACGACATCATTTCTCAAACTGACGTACAGATAGGGTGGGCTTTCCTTACACACTTATAACATTACCCCCACCCCAAAAATTACTTCTTAAACTCTTGCTGAATGGCAAACAAAAATAGATACGTCATCAGAGTACTTTGATAAGAAAATATGGTATCCACATATAAAAATGTAAAAGCAATACTTTTCTGAGGATAATATAAAATATAGCAGCCCACACAGAAGCAACCAGTGCAGATCAGATAGAGAAATACAAGTTTCTAACATCGTCTGTGTCTTCCCACCCTACCCATTTACCTAACCTTTGCTTATCCTTGGAGTTACAATCTGCCTTATCCAAAGTCATTCTAGCTTTTACTAAAATTAAATAGACATGACAACAATAATAGTTGCATGTAATAAAGATATATATATATATATTTATAAATTAAGGGCATTTGAAGGGCCTCAAGGCATATAATAACATCAAAAGAAAATCGACTATCCAGAGCAGTGTACTGTGAAAGGACCTCATTCCTGCCAAGCCATGGAACACTTACGTTGCATGGGTAGGTAGAGATGACAGAAAGGGAGCTGAGCATGTACAAGCCAAACACTCTAGAAGTTATCTCTGGGCAGAACTACAGGTTAGGAAAGAAGGAAGCAAGCATCGAGGCTGGGGTAGGGAGGAACTAAGCCCGTGTAACTCGCATCCTTTTTTTCCAGACAAATATGACACTCATCCTAAGATAAAACGAAACTAACAGATGTCACACTAATAAGGTCACCAGGGTTGTTCCTGGCTTTAAAGGATAATCCAAACTCGGCAAAAGCTGGACCCGCCCCCCCGTGTGTCCCCCACTTACCCACTAGGAAGAGGTATAGGTACTCATGTTCTTTCTTCCGAATAGCCTCTATGCTAAATATGTAGTATCCAAAATTTGCTGTGAGCCAAACCAACCAAACGATGAGAGTCCTTTTGGCAACATCCAGTTCGTGGAACAGATCCACTAGGCTGAGCTTCCTGACGCCCTTCCTGCTTTTGTCACAGGATCGACTCATGTCCAGGGATAAAAGTTCTACCAGGTCACAGGGGCTAGAATTGTTCCACACAGCCATGGTGTCCACGACCTGTTGCGCTTCCTTGTATCTCCCTTCTGAGAGCAGCCAGAGGGGGGTCTCCGGCAGCATCCAGCAGCAGAGGATGAAAGGCACAGTCAGTGCACACAGGATGAGCTGATAAAGCCACCAGTTGTCCACCACATAGCTTACCAGAGCCACCAACATTACCCCAATAGCAAAGAAGGTATGCAGATGCATGGATGCCCACATGCGAGACTTCTTGCCGATGAATTCCATCACGTAGACAAAGGCCACGACATAATAGCCACTTGCGGCCTGAGGGACAAGGAGACGGTAATTATGGTACAGTTACAGTGACCGAGAGGTCCGAGCGCTCTGCAAATTCATTTCGGTAAAAACTAATCTTTCTTCTTCATGCAGGTCCTCTTATCTTTCTCCCTATCTCAGCAGCAAACTTGAGGGAGCACTTATGGTAAAAAAGTACTAGATGCCACTTTGTCTAATAAGAGTTCCAGTATAAGGCGCACTTATTTCTGTTTCTTCTGAAAGGGCATATCTGTGTATCTGTATGCCATTGTGGCAGCCTAATTGTAAAATAGGGACAAGATTTTTATGGGGACTAGTGGGAGGAAAAGTAAGCTTGGTTAAAACTTTATTGTGACAGGCAACAACAACAACAATAAACAAACTGGATTTTATCAAAGATAAAACTTCTGTATTTAAAAAAAAAAAAAACAACACTACCAATACTACCAACAGAGTAGTAAGACCGCCTACAGAATTAGAGAAAATACACGCAAGTCATGTGTCTGGTAAAGGATTATACAGAGAATTCCTACAGCAAAACAAAACACTCAGAAGACCAATTCAGTTCAAAAGTGGACAGATGATTTTTGAGTGGGCATTTCACAAAAGTTACCTAAGTGGCCGAAAGCACTTAATAAGGTGGTTGACATCACTGTTAAATAGAGGCATGCCAGATCTGTGGTGACACACCCTCGCATCCTCTAAGATGGGCCCGGGGACTGCAGGGACTGCCCAGTGGTTAGGAACGCTGACTTCTCTTTCAGAGCACTGGAGTTCAACTCCCAGTATCCACATGGCAGCTCACAATCATGTGTAATTCTCATCTGATCAGATCTAATGCTCTCTTCTGGCCTCTGAGGGCATTGCACACATGTGGTACACAGACATACAAAACAGTCATACACATAAAAATAAGTATTTTCAAAGATACCTACTGGAAAAAAAAAACAGAAAAATAACGCTGGGGTGTAGAAAAGTTGGGTCCTTGTGCACTGTTAGTGGGAATGGAAAATGGAAAATGCACACAGTGGAAAACAGTATGGCAGTTCCTCAAGAAATTATAAATGCTACAAGATCCACTAATGCCACTCCTTAGTATATACCCTCCTCCGATAAAGGAACAGGAAGCAAGGCCCGGTGGGCAGAAGTAGTGTAGCTGCACCTGTGTCAACAGCAACAAACTCACAATAGCTAAAATGGAGAAGCAGCCCAGAGGTGGATCCTCAGATGATACAGACATCTGTAGGTCATACAGAGAACTGTTGTGAAGTCTTAAATACAAAATAAATTCTGTAGCCATTCTTCAGTTGAGGGGCATCTAGGTTGCTTCCAGGTTCTTGATATTACAAATAGTGCTGCTATGATCATAGTTGAGCACATGTCTTTGTTGCGTGGATGTGGATCATTTGGGTGTATGCCTAAGAGGGGGATTGCCGGGTCCTGTGGTAAACTAATTCCCATTTTCCTGAGGAACCGCCATACTGATCTCCAAAATGGCTGTACGAGTTTGCACTCCCACCAGCAGTGAAGGAGTGTTCCCCTTTCTCCACATCCTCTCCAGCATAAGCTGTCATTAGCCATTCTGGCAGGAGTAAGATGGTATCTCAAAGTTGTTTTGATTTGCATTTCCCTGATAGCTAAGGATGTGGAGCACTTTCTTAAGTGTCTTTCAGCCTTTTTAATTTCCTCTATTGAGAGTTCTCTATTCAGTTCTGTACCCCATTTTTTACTAGGGTTTGGTCGTGTTTTGTTGACTAGTTTCTTGAGTTCTTTGTGTATTTTGGAGATCAGTCCTCTGTCAGATGTGGCACATCTACACAATGGAATACTACTCTGCGGGAAGAAAACAATGGAATCTTGAAATTCACAGGCAAGTGGATGGAACTTGAAGAAACCATCCAGTCACAAAAAGAGGAACATGGTATTTACTCACTCATGTATGGATTTTAGACATAGAGCAAAGGATCACCAGCCTATAATTCACACAACCAGATGAACTAGGATACAAGGAGGATTCTAAGAGATTCATATAAAGTCCCTCACAGAAGGGGGAAGGGACAAGTCCCCCAGAGCACATGGGGAGTGGGGAGGGGGGAAGTGAGGGGAGAGGGAGCTAGGAGAAAGAGAAGGGGAGGAGAGGAGAGCATGTGGGACTAGGAAGATTGAGTCAGGGTTGGAATAGAAGAGAGAAAAGAGAGAGAGAGAGAAAGAGAGACCATAAAAGAGGGAGTCATTATAGGTTTGAAGTGAAAATTGAACCTAAAGAAATGTCCAGAGACCTACAAGACTGACCCCAACTAACAATTTGAGCAACCGTGGAAAGGCTACCATAAATGCCCTTCCCTGATAATGAGATTGATGACTAACTTATGCACCATCATTGAGCCCTCATCTAGTAGATGATGGAAACAGAAGCAAACACCCACAACTAAACACTGAGCCAAACTAGAATCCAGATGGAGAGAGGGAGGACAAGACCAAGCTTCAGAAACACATAGAGACAGCTGAACTGAACAAGGAGGAGCTAACGGGCCCCCAGACTGATAGCTGGGAATCCAGCATGGGACTGACTCAGACCCTCTGAACATGGGTCTCAGTTAGAAGGTCTGGGCAGTCTAAGGGACCTCAGACAGTGGAACCAGGATGTATCCCTGGTGCACAAAAGGACTTTAGGTGTGCATCCCCCATGGAGGGATACTCCCTTAACCTAGAGACAGGAGAGATGACCTAGACCCTACTCCAAATGACTTGACAGATTTACATGACCCCTCCTGGATGGCCTCACCCAACATGTGGAGTGGGGGGAGAGGAGGGGGGAAGGGGTGCATGTGAGGGTGGGAGAGAAGGAAAGAGGGAGGGAGGGAAGGAAAGAGGGAGAAGGAAGAGGGAACCGCACTAAATGAAATAAGAGAGTTACAAAAGAATAAAAAGTTATCCTGTACCACTTGAGATAGTATCTAGTAGCCAACATCAGAAAGATAAACTGTCCTGCTTACCAGGAGAGGAGGAAGAGTGGATTTATCATTTGATGGCCAAAGAGTTTTGGTCTTGTAAATGGCAAACGTTGTACAGAATTTACCACAATAGAAGTTGGATAATTTTCTTACTTTGAAAATAATGTTATTTTGTTATTGTTTTATTTATTACTACACAGACCAGGTTAGCCTCCAACTTGTGAACTTCCTGGCCAGCACTGAGAACATAGCCTGCACTACCATCTCTAGCTAAAATATGCCTAACTTTAATTTAGCAAAACTCAGATTATAAAAAACAGTTATCTCCATGCTTTGGGGATGAACAAATATTGAATCAAATGGTCAGTTCTAGATGGCCATGCTGTCACACGCCTTTCCTCCCAGCACTGGGGAGGTAGAGAAAGGCGGATGTCTGTGAGTTCAAGGCCAGCTAGGGCTGCATAGTAAGAAGACTCTGTAGCAGGAAAAAAAATACATACAAAGCAAAGTATCAGTTGAAGAGTGGTCACGGTTGTTTCTTACGGTTGTTTCATGTTGGACTTTAACAGCAAAAGTACTAAAGTTAATGGGATTATTGGGATTTTATTTTGGTTTGGGTTTGGGGTTTTTTAGGGTAGAAAAGGATGTTTTAGTTTACAATTCAAGGTTCCAGTCCATCTTAACAGGACAGTCAAAGTCCAGGGACTTAAAATAGCAGCCGGGGGCAGAGGGGATGACGTAAGCACGCTTACACGCTTGCTGACACTTTGAGTTATCAGTCTGACACAACCCTGGGACAAGAGTCTCGGTGAGGGGATCCCCAGACCAGGCTGGCCTGAAGGTGTGCCTGTTGGACTGTCTCCACTACGCTCACTGATGTGCAGAGGCCCAGCCTGAACGTGAGCAGCGCCATCCTCCCAGCTTGGGCCCTGGGCTGAGTGAAAGAGCAGCAGGTGACTACGGTGTCTAGGTATTGTCCTTGTCGCTGTCATTTTATGTACGTGGGCATTGTGCCTGTCTGTGAGCCATCCCTAATGCACGACCACTGCCCAAGGAGGCCAGAAGACGGTGTCAGACCCCTGGAACTGTAGCTGCAGACAGTTGTGAGCTGACATGTGGGAATTGAACCTAAGTCCTCTAGAGGAGTACAGTGCTCTTAACCGCTGAGCCATCTCTCCAGTCCACACGTGTTAATTCTATACTTTTGACTATGGGTGCGACAAGCTGCTTCAAGTTCCTGCTTTGAGTTCCCGGAAAAGATGGGCTCTGATCTGAAATTGTAAGCTAAATAAATCCTTTCTTCCTTAAAGTTGCTTGGAGCAGGGGACATTTCATCACAGCAATAAAAATGAAACTAAAACAGTTATTTAGTTATTGCAAAATTATCCCAGAAGAGCACTGATTTTTCGCAAAAGTCTCCCTTAATCCTATTTTATTTTATTTTTATTTTGCATATCGATCCCCTCCACATGCACCCTGACCACCCTCCCTTCCCATCCTCCCCCCCCCCCCACACTCCACATGTAGGGTGAGGCCTTCCAGGAGGGTTCATCTAAATCTGTCAAGTCATTTGGAGTAGGGACTAGGCCCTCCCTCCTGTCTCTAGGTTAAGGGAGTATCCCTCCATGGGGAATGGGCTCCCAAAGTCCTTTTGTGCACCAGGAATACATCCTGGCTCCACTGTCTGAGGTCCCTTAGACTGCCCAGGCCTTCTAGCTGAGACCCATGTTCAGGGGGTCTGAGTCAGCCCCATGCTGGATTCCCAGCTATCCGTCTGGGGGCCCGTTAGCTCCTCCTTGTCCAGGTCAGATGTCTATTTATTTTTTTTTAGAATTTCATATATAAGTACTATATTTATTCCCCTCCCATGTCCCCTCTCAAATTCATGACCTTTTCTTCAGTTATTATTGTCTCACACACACACACACACACACACACACACACACTCATGCACACACTCACGTGCGCACACACTCACACAAGCACAATCTGCTGAGTTAATTTGGCATTGCTGGCATCCGCATGTGCTTAGGGTTGGCCACTTTGGATTTGATAACCCCTGGGTGGGGGAGGGGGCTTAACCTTAAAGGGCACTGACCCCTCTCTTAGTATTCATCCAGGGATGGGGCCTTGTGGAGTACCGGCTGCTGTTGTCGCTGTGGGGACTTGTCTAAGGGACCCTGCTGTCAGGGTTTCCTGGGTTCAGCTCCCTGTCTCAACCCCAGCCTTCGGGTCCTCAGCTCTGACAGTCTCTCTGTCCCTCTCCAGTGACACTCCCTGACCCTTAGGTGAGGAGGTCACATCGTAAGTGTGTCAGCCAGGGCTGTGCGCCCCATGGCCAGTTGCCTGTGCTGTGACCGGGCGTGGATTTCTGTGCACTCTCTGTCTGCTGCAAGAGAGGCTTCTTTGCTGAGGGGTGAGAGCTATGCTTGCTTACGTTTTTTGAGGATTAAAGTGCGGTTGGGGATTATACTGGCTTTTAGAAAAGTAAGTGATGGTTGTAGATGCTCCTCTAGGGTCTATGACTTCACTAGCCACAGAGGTTCACTAGATCCACATACTAGCTGAGTTTATCTCACTGAGTGAAGATATTTGTAATTTGTGCACTTTTATGTGCAAATTGTATTTATTTGACATTAAAAGGAAAACCGTGCATTTAGCCAGGCAGTGCTGGCGCACACCTTTAATCCCTGCACTCAGGAGGCAGAGACAGACGGAGCTCTGTGAGTTCAAGGCCAGGTTGGTCTACGGAGCTAGTTCCAGGACAGCCAGGGCTGTTGCACAGAGAAACCCTGTCTCAGGGGGAAAATGGGCATTCATGATCACATACACACAGTTTTAAAATAAATTATCTTAAAGGAAGTGTGCAGCTGCCACAGGGAACCTGTCTAGATGTCTTTGCCAGCATGGAACAGCGTCTTCGCTTGCTGACACACTTGTGATGACAGAACTGTGCAGCCACCTGCCCTGTGCCAGCTTCCATCGCTGGGGGGGTCCTTACACTCCATCCCACTGAGACCATTGGCAACCCAGTGAGACGGGGTGATCATCTGAAGTTTACAGACTATAAACTGTGGCTCAAAGGGGCTGACCTGTGCTCAGGGGGGCAAAGCTGTCAAATGCACACACGCCCAAGGCTCTCCCTGCTCCCCAAGGCCTGTGCAGGCTGCTTGCCCCTCCTTGTTCTGCAGTAATTATATGAATGACTTTTACAGTATCCTTTACCTATCTGGTGTGTGCTAGGCCAACACAATCACTTAGAAATTCAATACTGCTTTCTTAACAACAGGCCACATGCCACACAGAACGAGACAAGAGATTTGTTCCTAAATACGCAGCAGTTTTTCATTGCAACGAGAGCCAGTGTAAACAGAAGGTATTAATATTCACAGAAAGTCTTCTGCAGTGCACAAACATCAGTCATCCCACGGTCTCTTTCAGTAGATTCTTAACAGACAATTAAACCTAAAGGGGTTAAATTTACTATTTGATAAGCACAACTCACCATGGCAAGGAAAAAGCGTATCACCATGAAGCTTAAATAATCAAATATAAAGATTGACGCTATGCCAAAAAAAAACACACCGATACTTGTACACCACAGAGCCACTCGCCTTCCAAACCTGAAAAATAAGAACACAGTGGGGCGCCAGTGTGGCTGCGCCGTTTAAGCAGCCTGTCCTGTTCAGGAAAGGTGAACACTGCCGACATTATGCATTTGATTCCAGTGGGGAGGCCTCCAGCTAGGCCGCTAACGTGTACACAGAACCTCTGGGCCTTGCCCTTAGGATGGAGCACAAACAAAATATCACCACATTTCCCCCCTTGGTCTGAAATAAAAAATGTTACAGTTAATATTGGAAAAAGTACATACAACAAGTACAGTAACTATATATAATATATGCAGGCAAAAAAATGCATCAACAACATCTAATCCATTTGCATTTGACAAATTCAGAGGATATACTCCATATCTGTCCTATCTTGATGAGTCCAAAAGGTTGCACCTAATTCACTTTCTATTCTAACTTGCATTGCCAAAGCTATCTTTTAATGTCTTTCAACCCTAAACACTTTACACCTCTTTAATGATTTTTTTTTTCTGAATCTGGTAACAAGGAAAACTATAACTTAAAGTCTTCAACTCCATACAAGACCCACGAAGGAAATAATATTACCTGAGTAACCAGGAAGTCCAAGTAAGTAACTTCCAAAAATGTGAGAAATGATAGAAACAGCTGGCTGCCTGGACAGCCACCCATCCACATTTAGCCTACAGGCCTAGCATATCTGACAGACTTTTTTCTGTGAAGTGGGGTATACAGAAGGGCTGGCCTACCTTGTCTTGGCAAAGTTTGGCAGCCACTTTCTTTTATGTCCTGCTTGTCCAATTTGGACAGCATACTGTCAGCGGTTGAGGCAAGGGTACTTTCTCGCCCAGTGACTAACTTTTGCCACAAAGGAAGTAAACTTCCTGTGGGGTTTCTTCAATGTGCATCATCTTCTTTAATGTAGATTGGTGCTGCCAGGAGAAGACTTGTCTCATTGTCATAAAAACAAATAAACAAACAAAACTCCGTATGTTATTAAGATATCTTAAATGCCATATTCTGCAGATCTCCTAAGTGTTTGAAGATGACCTTCCTATCTAAAATATATCGGTTTGACCTTGAAAACATATCTAATATGACTACAAGTTTGATTGTAATGACTAACTTGCATTTCTTTATATCCTAATTGGTTGGCAATGATACCTTCCAAGGGCTAGAAACTTGCATTACATTGTTAAATGAACTTATAGGTACAATACCTTGAACAAGAGTAGAAATGTATGTACAGTATGTTCTATAAAACAATCTCAACATTGTATCAATATACAAAGATCTATATCAATATGAAATATTTAATACTATTAGTTGCTTGTTTTGGTTTAAAAGTAGATTCAATAATCTACCCTTATCCTATCATATTTGTAACCCCTTTTTCTTTTTTTTTTCAAAACAAGAACTCTGAATCTAATCTCCTTTGTTCAGATTTTTTTCAACCATTATCAATAACAACTTGTAACCAACCATCCTAATCAATGACAAATATCCATAATTCATTGAATAACAAAAATCACCTATCCCACCTATTGGGAATGTGGGCACTGTGATCTTAAAATTACTTCCTGCATCTTTAGGGGATCCTGAAAAGAAATTTTTGGGTTAATTGTCAAGTCCTGGAAGAGATAATTGAATTATTTGTTGTCCAGTCTCCGTGTAATTGGAAAGTGCAGAGCTTGTCTCAAGTCCTGGCTAGAGTAGTCTATGAGGCTGGATCATCTCAGCTAGCCACCTCAAAATGGTCCTGAGCAGTTTTTAGTCCAAAGCCTATCTTTAGGTGATGTTTTCCAGCTTAGTGGTGTTGTCACAGTCCCATTGGAATCATCGTTGTGGGGCCCCATCCTCCTTTTGGAGACTTCAAAGGTTGATGTTAGGCAGAAAACTTAAAACGTTTTAAATGTCATATGCAGCAGATCTCAAAAAAAAAGGTTAAAGGACCATACTCTGTTATGTACATCCAGAGTACAAAAACTTAATTCCTAGTTAACCAACAGAGATTCAAGCCCGAAATCATGTACAGGAAGCTAGATGAAGCCCTTTTCTAGAATCAGTTAGTGCTCTATATGTGTAGGGACAATTAAAAAAAAAACCGCTAGTAACAGGCCAACAGTTTTATATCTAATACAGTGTTTCTGTGTGTTATTTGGGGCTGATGCGGCTGAGGGACCAGGCTGGCCGGAAAGTACTTTTAACATATATGACCATTAATATCATGTCAAAAAGTGTAAAATACATACATACATATATTAATCTTATAAATTTTGAGATAATATTTATACCTTAATAAAAGCTTTAAGGAGTCAAAATAAAACCAAAAGCTCATGAGATTCGTAGTAATAAAATAGTCCCTTGATTTTGGCGCTAGATGTTGCACAAGTCTAATTGGTCTTAACAATAAGAACTCCCAGAGTCAGCTATTAGAGAGTAAAGCTGAGGGGTCAGAGAAGCAGAGCAGCAGCCACTGGAGTTCTCACTTCTACGAAATCTCAGACCAGAAAGAGTCCAGCGCCTGTCTCTGCCCACCTTATATTCCTTTCTCCAACCAATCACATCACTTCCTGTTCTCCAACCGATCACATCACTTCCTGTTTCCTCCCCCTGGTGCTGGGATCCAAGCGCGTGCCACCACTGCCTGAACTCTATGGTTAACTTGTGGCTAGCTCCACACTCTCATCTCCTCGCTGACCTCGTCTCTCTCTGTAGGAGAACAGTCCTACAGCCTCTGAATGACCACAGGACGACCCTCAGCTTCCTTTCCTGCCTGCTTGCCTGCACAGCCAGCACCTTCCCACCTCCCCTAAGACCCAACCTACCTGGTTCTTTTTCTCCTTCTCTTCTGGCTCCTTCCTTACAGTTTGAATCTCATCACCTAAATGATAACCTTCTCTTGAACCCACGGTGTCTTCAGCCATCTTGCATTTACCTCGTCATAGACGCAACAGATGGAAGATGGACAGCACCTGCTTATTGCTTGCCTTGTGTCTTCCAGCGCTGGCTGCCCCTCCCCACTCTCCTGCCCTGTAGGAGGGGCTACAGTCTTTCGTCATGATTACAGGGGATATTAACTCTGAGTATCCCATCCCTGTCTTTTCCAGAATCCAGACATAGTGCAAGCCATTGCGAGTATCCAGACACACACCATCCAGGCTTTTAAACCTTCACACACGCGCGCGCGCACACACACGCACACACACACACACACACACACGCACACATACACACGCGCGCACACGCGCCCACATGCGCGCACATGCACACACACCAGCCTCCCCTGTTCCCTGCGTATTCATCATTATATCATCTTCAGTTTCAAAATGCCTCCCAGATATGCCTGCGCCTTTCCCTGTCCACTTTCCCTGTTTTTCCCCAGTGTTTACATCATTGATTCCAACTGGTCTTTCTCACCTCAAACCACTTCACCAGCCACGTCTCTAGAAAGCAACCAGCGCTGACCCATCTTCTGTACCTCTACCCATTCTTTACCCATCCTTCTCTTCCGCCATTCAAACCTTCCCTGAATGCACCAGGCACAAAGGCAAGAGCGCAGTTTGCTGTGAGTTCACATCTTTCATTCTCTGGTGCAGGTGTTTAAGCATCCGTTATGCGGAGCACAGGTATTCCAGCACATTTACCCCGTGCACAGATTGCATCTGCCTCGAGCAATGAGTGCATTTCAATGGAAAACGCTTCGACGATAATTTGTGCCCCAATCTGCCAGATGAAAACAGCCACACTCAGCACCTACGAGCTTTCACAACAATAGGAATGGCCCTGGCCACAACAGAGCGCTGTCATTTCTCTCCAGATGTATTTCACAGCTGTCTTAGGCTGCTATCCCCTAGAGGTGAGGGTTTCTGATCTAAGCTGCTATCTTTAGGTCCCCAGTACTCAGGACATGCTTGTGAATTTTACAGCAGAGAAGGCCGAACACATTCACCTCTGTTTTAGCGGAGACTCTTCAAAGAATGGTCTGTGCCTCTGAGACGAAGGTTGCCTTATTTCAGTGTTCTACTTTAGTGTGAATGCTTAAAAATATGGCTGCTCTGTGATTTGCATGATGGCATACCCTCCAAAATTAATGTTGAAATGCAACCCCCAAAATGCCCCAATATGGTCACGTCTTGGGGACTCCTTCCTCCTGAATGGAATTAGACCCCTATAAAAAAGGACAGCTCTGTAGCCCTCCCGTCCCTCCTCCTGTGTGAGGGTAAAGCATTCCTCTCTGGAGGCAGCAGCAATAAGACACCATGTTGGAAGCAGAGAGCAGCCCCTCATCAGCATCAGCCATTCTGGCTTCTTTATCTCAGATGCTCCAGTCCCCAAGACTGAGAAAATAAATTATTGGTTATAAATTGGTTATAAATTACCAATATGTGGCATTCTTGCTACAGCAACACAAAGAGACTACAACAAACCAGCTAATGAGGTTTTCACATTTACAGGTATTATGGCCTAAGGCCAGGCTACCTCTCATTAAAATCAAGTCTATTTAAAGGAAAAAATAAACAAAGAAATAACCATTATCCATCAAGTGGCTATATGTATGGAGCGGTTTCTTCTGTATTTCTCTTTTTAAGAAAGCTTTGAACAAAAAAAAAAAAAATTACCGGTGTTGGTGGCACACGCCTTTCATCCCAGCACTCAGGAGGCAGAGGCAGGTGGATCTCTGAGTTCTAGGCCAGCAAGGTGTACAGAGCTAGTTCCAGGAGAGGCTCCAAAGCAATACAGAGAGAAACCCTGTCTCAAAAAAAAAAAAAAAGGAAGAAAACAAGGAAGAAATAAAGGGAGAGAGAGAAAGAGAGAGAGAGAGAGAGAGAGAGAGAGAGAGAGAGAGAGAAAGGAAGGAAGGAAGGAAGGAAGGAAGGAAGGAAGGAAGGAAGGAAGAAAGCTTCAGGGTGAAAGATTTTTAGGGGAACTCAGCTTATAAACTAGGATTCTGAAGCAGGTGAGTGTTAATGTCCCCAGCAATGCAGCTGACAGGCAGCAGAAACATCCCCAATGTCCAGGCAGGCTGCTCAGTCAGTCATCTTACCAGCTCGTTACTCTGCGTACCACAGAGATGAAGCAGCAAGAGCGTACACTTTGCATAGGAAGTTATGAAAATGACTGGAGCTTTGCACATGACTCTCTGCCCGATCACGAGACCCAGAGAGCAAACTGAATCCTACACCATGTAACAGTGCTAAATGTTCCATTTTTTTTACCTGTCAGAAAGGTAGCCAAAAACAACCGCTCCAAGCAGCATGCCAAACATAAAAAAGGGCTGGATCACTTTTGCGTACCATTTCTGGTCACAGACCAGGTTCAGTCTTCTAACCATGGAGCTTCTCCACTTGCTCTGGTCATAAGCATAACCATCGGAGCAAGGGCTGTTGAACTTTTGGCCACTGTACCTGTAGCCCAAATCCGACGTGTTCCCCCTCCAGGTCCTGCTACATCTTGTGAGCTCCCAGACCTCTCCGTCCTGCAGCTGCACCGTAATGTGGTCTTTCTGGTCTGAGGACTGCAGGGCCAGTATGTCCTCCAACTTCCAGGCAGACAAGTTGTGGAAGGTTGCCTTCCGCACTCTGCCTGGGGGCTTGCAGGCATGCTCGGGAACAACAGACATGAGTACGGAGGACAGGTAGTGGATGCCACAGGAGATGCTCTGGTAGGCACAGGTAAGATACAGGGCTATCTGGAACCTGTGAAGACACGAGAAGGTTGGGTCTTCTATCTGGCCTGTGGGTGGGAAAACGACGCAACTAAGTATGCAAGGGTTCTTCCATCTGGTTAACCTTGAGACCCTGACACATACGTAGATGGGTAAATACAAAAATAATTATAGGTGCGTCTCCCTTTCTTACGTGTGTGTGGAAATGTGTGTGTGTGTGTGTGTGTGTATACACACACACACATATATATTTCAAGTACATGCACTAAACTTTAGTTTCGCCGTCATCTCATCAAGTCATTCCAACATACAAGTTTGTACGATATTGTTCAAGTCTATTGACCAAACAACCTCTGCTTGGCAAATGAGGCATGGAAAAGATTTTATGTCAGAAAACTTCCTATGTACTAATTTTTCTTAGGCAAACGTGAGCGTGTCTCTACTTTTCAACACACCACTAGAGCACCGGGCATCACCATTAGCCCTTGAAGGTAATAAACCTGCTCTTGCTGTGGCCCAGACGTCAACATCAACGGTCCTGCCTGTAACTGAACAACATTCAGAGCCGGACAGTTTCTCAGCAGAGAGAGGTTAAAGTGACAGGCCACACACACAGAGACAAACTGGGAGATGCAGAACCTGGGTGTGAAGTTCAAAGAGAGGCCCAGTGTGCCCAAGAGTGTTTTTGTCAACTTGTCACAAAGAGTCATTTGGAAAAGGCACTCTCAGTGAAGAAAATGCTCCCATTAGATTCACCTGCAGGAATGTTTGTGGTGGGTTTTCTTGATGTGGGAGGGGCCCAGCTCATTCTGGGTGGGGCCATCCCTGGGCTGGTGGTCCTGGGCTCCATAAGAAAGCAGGCTGAACAAACCATGGGGAGTAAGTCAGTAAGCAGCATCCTCCATGGCCTCTGCATCAGCTCCTGCCTCCAGGTTCCTGCCCTGAGTTCTTGGCTTCCCTCCGTGGACTAACCCAAGCAAGATATTTAAGTCAAATGAAGCTGTTCCTCCCCAGGCTGGTTTTGATCAGTATTTTATCATGGCAATAGAAGAACAGACTAGAGAAGTTGTTTATCTGAGGCCTTTGGGCTTGTACCCAACCAGTCTTATCGTATGGAAGGGCTCTACCTGAGAACTCAGACTCCATGTTTGTCTCAAAGGTGATTTATGTAGGGCTTCCTTTCCCTGGCAATACCCACCGAGACACAAGAGGAAATCAGGACTTGCCACATAGTGTGTTCACTAGTTTGCTGTAGGAAACTAAGCATCCACCCACATCCTCCTCTTCTATCTGTAAATAGTAAGGGTATGTTACCCTAGAAATATGTACAGTGCTATGATTTCGTGTAACCGTTAAACATGCATTTACAGAGAAGGAGATGGCTCCATTGGTAAAGTGCCTGCCACGCAAGCATAAGGGGCTGAGCTCAGATTCCCAGCAGGCACGGAAAGCCAGGCGAGGCAGCAGGTGCGTATAACACCAGTGTTGGTGGGTAATTGGCAAGAACCCTGAGTCTTTGCAGCCTTGTGCAGCCTCTAAGTGAGCTCCCCACCCTGTGGGAGACCCTGTCTTAAGAAGTGTTGGGGACCATCACCATCCTCGCTACCTCAGGCCTCTGAGATAGAAAATCACTGCCTCATAAGAGGTAAGCAAGCAGAAGGTTCAGCAGAGCATCCTAGACACAGGCTTGTAGTTTAACAGCCAGTTAAAGAACAGCTCAGGGTATTCCTCCTGCTGCAGTTTTACAGACAGTTAAAGAATGGCTCAGGATATTCCTCCTGCTGTAGCTTTACAGCCAGTTAAAGAATAGCTCAAGGCATTCCTACTACTGACCCTTTCATCTTGCCTTCGTGCAAACCCTGCTCACACCCTGCCTACGGCCCTATACATGCCTTCCCTGAGAAAATAAAATTTGTCAGCTTGATGAGAAGTCTGTCCTGCTGCCGTTCTCCATATCCCTTGTCCTGCATTCTTCCCTAGGTGTTCCTCACTGACTGCCTCGCGGGTCGGGGCAAAGAAGTAAGATGGAGGAGCTGGAGAGATGGCTCAGCAGGTAAGAGCACTTCCTGCCATATGAAAGGACCGGAATTCTCATTCCACAACCCACGTCAGGCAGCGCAGGACACTAGTCACTCAGCTCCGGGGGATGCATGGCAGCCCCCCTGGTCTGTGAAGGGGTGTGTGTGTGTGCAATGGGAACAGATGCTGGGGAGGACAGAAGCATTGCCCACGCATGGTCCCCGAGTAATCCGGCAATGCAGATTTCATGTGGAACAGATTCTCCCCTCTGTAATCCAGGCTGGCCTCGAACTCACTGTGGAGGCCAGGCTGGCCTCCACACTCAGCAAGCAGTCTCCTGCATCAGTCTCCCTGGGGTTATAGGCAAGAGCCATGCACCTGGCGATGCGTTAACCAAACACAGACTACTACACGGTTACTTTAGTCAGCTCCTAAGTACAAGGAGAAAATAAAGCACTATTACCTTGGAGAGCTACTGTGAGGACCAGAGTCTACAGAAACCTCGCAATAACCGTTTCTTTGTGTTGTTCCTTTTTAAAACAGTGTCTTCCTCCGTAACCCAGGCTGCTGGCCTGGAACTTTCTGTCAGTTTCTTTTCTGCCCCCCCCCCCCACAAACTGAAACTACATATGTGTGCCATTTCTGACCGTAATAAATATTTCTATAGTTATTCATAAACATCTGAAGCTAAATGGAACATTTAGGCCCATTCTAGCTCATCTATGAGAGCTGATCCTTTCTACATTACTCTGCTGCTGGTGTTTAACCCGACGGCCTCCATTTCCCGGTCATTCATTCAAAGATTCCAACAGTGAATGTCAAATTAGGACCTGTGTGTGAGCTCCCTACACTGAGTACCTGGCCCATGTTAGTTATCTGTGTGACAGCCAGCCCAGAGAACCAGCCGGGCCCAGGGAGTTCCCACTGGGGTGGAAACAGGCAGTTATCCTGGACGCTGGGAGGGCTGGCAGTTTCTCTACACCTGCGACCATGCCTTTTCCCAAAGCCCCAACTTCTCCACGGGGTGCCTATTGCCTGCACACACCAAGTCCCAGCGGGCTGCAGCGCCTCCCAGGGCCGGAAGCCAAGAGGACACGCCAGGCCTTGGGCTTTGGCCAGGCCTCTGCAAGCGCGGGGCCAAAAGGGCTTGGAGAAGCTGTGGAACTCCATCCCAACCGACAGAAACAGATGTCCCTGTGCCCCAACGCGTGCCGCCCCACTCTGGCCCCATGTCCATCTCTGCGTCCCTACTTGCCAAAGTGTCCCACGTGGTCAAAAATCAGTTCCACACTGCGGGACTCCATGTCCCTGTCGCGGATCCAAACGCCCTGGGCTGAGCGCAGCGCCACACCCGCCCTGCCCGCCGTCCCCCGGGTGCCCCTGCCGGGGTGGCCTCCTTCCCAGCAGCCCATGCGTCTTCCTGCTGCTCCATCGCACGCGCCCTCAACCTCTGCTGGGCGGGGTCCCGCACCTGCACGCTGCCCCCGCGCCGTGATCCAGGAAGTGTCAGCACTTCTAGGAAGTTTCGGGAATGCAGAGCGCCTGGCTCCCCATCCTTAGCAGGACACACCCTTGCTTCCTAAACTTTCCCGCTGGAGACTCCCCGCATAGTGGGTTTTACGTGTACCTTTACTTCTTGGCGCCACCAAGCTGACCTCGTCAAACTCAGGAGCCCCTGCCTCTGTCTGCCCTCACCCTGCAACACCCGCCCTCAGGGTTAGGACCACAGGCCAACTTGGTTCTTAATGCCCTGGGCTTTCACACTCCACATTCTTGTCGCTCAGCCTTTGAAGGAGAGTTTTAGAGGCTGCCCAGCAGTTACTGCGCAGGCTCAGAGCACCCACTGCTGGCAGCAGCGGGCAACCCAGTAACTTCAGCACCAGAGCGCCCTCTTCTGGCCTCCACCCGCACCGGCGCTTAGGAGCACACACTCAGATACAGACACACACACATAATTTGAAAAGAAAACGATCAGAAGAACTCCATCCCTCCGTGCTGCAATGGTAACTGGCTTGTACAGGGACTCACAGCCAATGTGAGTCGTTGGGTGCAATGGTCTTGTCACACCCAGGTGATACCGGATGATACCGTCTCAACCAGGTCTCCCTCCCCCTCCCCTTCCCTCCCCTCCCCCTTCCTGACCCCTCCCCCACACTTCTGCGTCTCATCCATCACTACCTCGTTCTGGCCACGCGGCCGTCCTCACGCACCCTCACACGCAGCCCTCGCCCAAAACTGAACTTTTACACTCACTAGTCCTTCACCTGAAACTTTTTGGCTCTTCGAAACCACTCCACTGTTGAGATGTTGCCTCTGCTCCTACAACACCGGTCATCGTTACCTTCTAGCCTCTTTTCGGGCTACTCTTTCTTATTTTTTCCCCCAACCTGATTACACACATGATAGATAAAACACGTAGAGCCAGATCTCACTTCCATAAGCTGTAAGCCACCCTGACATGTAGTAGGTGTTCAATAAATGCTCGTCAGATGAACAAATGGGCACAAATCTATGTATAAGAAATAACAGGAAACTTAGGCAACTTCCTTAGAATAGCAGTTTTTACGATCGGGTGGAAGAAAGCACAAGCCTAGCTCAAAGTCAGCAAGGGTCTGACTTCCTAAGGAAGAGCCCATTAGCAGTATGCAAAGACAGGTTAGCACCAACAGGGAGCACAGACAGGGTTAAGCGGGGACGGGAAGGGATGTGGAGGGGTCTAAGAGGAGACTAAGAGTCTTTCCTGTGCCTCTGCTTTCAGAGTGTGTGTGTGTGTGTGTGTGTGCGCGCGCGCGCGCGTGCGTGCGTGTGTGTGTGTGTGTGCGTGCGTGCGTGCGTGCGTGTGTGTGTGTGTGTGTGTGTGTGTATAAGGAGTCACTAAATTGAGTAATCTGAACCCTGGGCAGGAAAATACCCTGATGTCCTGTACCCAGTGGCCTCCAGGTCCAAACCCTTCTCAAAGCTAAGAGAGGCCGTGTAGCTGCTGGGAACGTGCCATGTGAGGTACCAAGCCATGAGCCTCGTGATAAAAGGTAACAGAAATGGGCTGATTTAATTGAGAGAGCTAGTCAGTAATGTGCCTGGGCCACTGGCCAAACAATTGTAACTGATAGGAAGCCTCAGAGTGGTTATTTGGAAACTGGCAGGCGGGAGGAGAATCCTCCAGCCACACTGCTGGAGGACAATGCTCAAAGCATGGATGACAATGGAGGCCTGGGAGTTTCAGAGGGAATCGAAGACTCTTATCAGCGCCATGTTTGTGATGTGTTTGAATTAAGAATCTGGAAGGAAGACCTCTCCTTTACTGGAACTGTGGATGCTGGTCAGCTGGAACTGAAGATATTCTGATTAACAGGAGACTGTCCTCAATGAGGTGAAATTTTTGGGGTTAGGGGCGTATCTCTTCAGGGCCAGCAGAAACGAGCTCTCATACAGCTGGGGACCAAGGGTGCACATCACTCTGGCAAATGATGTGTAAGCGCCTCCCACGTGGTACTGGTTTTGAGGGCACAGCGGGGTTATGGAGAGCAGTCAAGGCTTGGCACTGTGGGGCAGAGTCAGTGTCTTCCTGAAGAGAAGCCAGAAGAGGCCATCAGTGACGGTGCTTTGGAAACGCATGGAGAGAAACTGAGGCTCGGCACCGCATTGCTGGGGTCTCTGAGGCTGGACCAAGCCCACCGAACAAGCTCTGGGTGCGGAGTCAAGCCAGGCCGAGCCCACCGAACAAGCTCCGGGTTTTACAGACCACAAACCAGAGAAGTGGAACCGCCGGAGAGCCGCGGGGTCCAGATGATCACAAATGAACCCCAGATGCCAGGCACTGAGCGTTTTAGACTCTTAGACTTCGGGTTTGCATTGATCTGATTGTAATTGTGTCCAGGGTCCTTGTCTTTGTGGGTAAGCATTTAACTTGACTTTTATCTTACAGGAACTCATAGTTAAGAGACTTTGGGTATTGTAAATGACTTTAAACTTTTGAAGCATTTGCGTTTTTAAAGACCGTAGTATGGGGAACAGTTTTTCTGGAAATTGTTCTTGTAGCCTGCCTTCACCAACTGAACTTTTACCTAACGTTGTAAACAACTTAATCATGTTCTTTGAGACCACTTGGAACTATGCGCTGTGCATGCTGCTTACTTAAGTTGGAGTTATCTCTAAGGAGAACGGTGCAGTCCACCTTACTCTGCCATGGACTGCTGCTGTAATCAACATTTGCAAACTGAGCTGAGCTCACAGCTCTACTCTTAAACTCCCTCACAAGGCCTCCACGCCCTTGACTCCTATCAGCGCACTTGTGTGAGGTCAGCGATGAGAGCTCAGAGCACTGTTGAAAGCAAGAGCGCTTTGGCAGCGAATGGCCCTCAGAGGATCCTGAGAGCAGCCTGTGACTGTGCGTTGATAGTGTCTGTTTACGGTTCTGCTTGCTGTTCTTGGTCAGTGAGATCAGAAAATCTTCTTCTCTCGTAAAAGCCATGTAAAATACTGATTGAGACAAAGTTCCTCATTCCTTTCCCATGCCATGGTTAATGTGCTGTTCAGTAAAGGGAAGTGATGGCCCTCGGTTAGGGGAACTGGGCTCAGTCTTGACTCCGGGAGCCTGTCTCCTTTACGTGATGCTGCCACACTGCGCAACTTTTAAAGTTGTACTGTGGATTTTTGTGATATTAACCTGGTGTCTTGAGGGGACAAACAAGAAAGGATAGGTTATGGTTTGACAGTGATGTGTTTATGTCAGGTTGACAAGGGATCAATCGTGCTGTTCCGTTTGTGCCAACTTGGCATGCTCTAGAGTCACCTGAGTAGACCCACTCTCAACTGAGGAATTGCCTCCACCAGACTGGCCTGTGAGCATTTCTGGGGAGCGTTTCCTTGATTCTTGACTGATGTGGTAGGCCCAGGCCACTGCAGTCATAGTCACTCTTGCGCAGGTGGTCCTGGGTTCTATGAAAAGGCAAGCTGACTGAAGCCTTGGAGAGCAAGCTAGTAAGGAGCCTTCCTCGAAGGTTTCTGCTTCAGTTCCTGCCCTGAGCTCCGGCCTTGACTTCCCTCCATGAAGGGCTGGGGGCTGGGAAATGAAGTAAAGCCTCTCCTCCCCCAGTTGCTTTTGGTCAATGTTTTATCACAGCAACAGAGACCAAACTAGGACAGTGAGACAATAAATTTCTGTTATCTAAGCCACCCTCATCTGCAGAACTTTCATTGCATCCCAAGACACTTGAGCATCCATTCAAAAATATTTGATTCTGGGATGTGGAGATGGCAAAGTCATTAAGAGTGATGCTCTTCCAGAGGACCCGAGCTTGGCATCCATGTTGGGCGGCTCACAACCACCTGTAGTCCTAGCTTCAGGGGATCTGACACCCTCTTCTGGCCTCTGCAGACACCTGCACTCATGTGTGCATACCCACACACAGACACATGTTTGAAAATAAGTCATCTTAAAAGAAATATTTGATCCATAAACAAATAAATACAATCTCCTTCCTTTTACATACAAATGATTGATTATTCAATGCTCCATACTCTAGCTGGAAAAAATAGACTTAAACACTACTTTTAAAAAAATAAAATTTCATGGTATCTTTCTGTTATACGAAGGAACCACCACAGTTTGTTATCCAGACTTCTACTGCTAAACATTTAGATTGCTCCCAAACTTTCATGATTATAAACAATTCTATGACGAATGACTTCGTCATAAGAAAAATGCCATTTGCATACATGAGAGCTGTTTGTTGGCTGAGTTCCTAGAAATGGATTACTGGCTGAAAAGATCCTCACATCTGTAATGTTCATAAACATTGGCAAATCACCCTTTCTAGTGCATGTACCAGTTTCTATTCTGTGCAGTATATGTTTCCATTTTCCTGACTTTCACCTGTGACGTGTGTTAGCAAACATGAGATCTGCCAAACTGACATAGGAAACGTCCCTTCTTCGTAGTTTTCTTTAGTATTTCCTGTGTGTGAAATCGAGCATCGTCTTATGTGTTCAAGAGCCTTTTGTGTTTTACCCCTTCGGATCACACCTTTTCGTTTTGGTTGCCATTTTTCTTACTGTTTTTGCAGTGCTGTGAGTCAAATTCTGGACCTCTTGAATTCTAGGCAAGTATTCCACTGAGCTACACCCTCGCCTCTGTTATTATTTCAAAGAAGTTCCTTTGGGAAAGAGAATCAAACCTCTGTGAGTGAGAGTGATATACTTTCTCTCAGTTTGTGAATGGAATTGCTTACGCTGATCTTGTCATAATGAACTTTTTACTTCATTTTCTCAAAGGTTGGTTTTAAGTCTTCTAGGTTTCCCGTTATGCT